AGGGGCAACACTAATGAATTCGAGAAGGGTTCATTAGTCTTGTTAGCTAGTCAAAACCTGTCTAAACATGCCGTTTCCGACTTCGGGGCGACCAAGCTCGCTCCGCGCTTCATCGGACCGTTCACTGTGCTGGCACGGCACGGCAACGCCTACACACTGGACATACCGTCTAGTATGCGCCTCCATCAGACGTTCTACGTCGGACGGTTGAAGCCATACCTGCAGCACGAGCTACCTAGCTCGGCTGAACCGAAGCAGAAGACTCGGCGGAAGCCATCGTCCTCTCCAGCGCGAAGTCGCGCTGGAGCAGCGGGTCGGGCTAATGGTCCAGCTCGGCCGGAACGATCGAGGCGGTCTGGGAGGCCGCCGCAACCTGAGGATACTTCAGAGCGCCGAACCCAGCGCTCTGGAACTACTCCACGACCGGAACTCGGTCGTGGGGAGACGCGAGATCAGGGTCAACACCAAGTTGACCACACACGGGGCGTGTTCCCACCACTACCACCGCCAATTCGTGACGCACACGGCTCAACTCGATGGATAGTTGAGTGGATTGTTGGTCACAGTATCCCGAGAACGAACAGGCAACCGGTTCGTTTTCGTATCCGTTGGAGAGGATTCCCTCCCAACCAAGATACATGGGAGCCGCGGAACGTCTTGCTCGAAGACGTCCCGGACATGGTGAGGGCATACGAAGCCCACCATGCGCTACATACTGGAACGTAATGCGAGCACTGCTGTTAACAGCACTTCAAGGGCGGGCTGTGGGTCCTGCCCCCCTGGCAGCAGCGCGCTTTGCACGTTGCCGCGCATTATGCGCAGCAGCAGAGAGGTTCTCCGCTGCTGCGCCAGGGGTCTTCAACTTCGACGTGCTCGTTCCGTAACGAGCACGCTCTCTTCGACGTCACACATTGACCAAGCGGTCAATGCTGATTGACGTGCCGGGACCGGCACGTCTAATCTTGACGGGGGGGATGGTGTAACGGGGTTACACGCACAAGTGGCTACAGTCACTTGTTACTCTAACAGATGCGATGTCTGTTAGAGGTTTGAAAGACTTTCTCGACCTTGGTGTAGACACACCAAAGGCTACATACATTTAGGATCACCACGACGGGTGGTCCATAGAGACTTAGGATTCCTATTAGCTGAAAACAGCATCTTTTAGCCAATGAGCGACATGCATAGCATTGTAATTCTGCCAACCAGCCGTTGGCAGATTCCTAGTTTAGAATATTACATTTAGAGGAAGTCAGAAACATAAAACAAAAATAGCAGTTCTCATCTTTTACCAAAACCCGCTACTTGGAGTCTTTATCTTGTTTAAAGTATACTCGTGGATCTTGAGTATACTTAACTCAAGTAAAAGAAACCTACGCTTCCTCATACACGTGAGCATACGTGTAAGCCGTAGTAGTGAGCCAAGGTAGGCCAATTACACTCTGGGCCATGCGTGGCAGACAGATAACGGGCAGCTAAGGCTCCTACGTTCCTACGTGCGTCCTCTACGCAGCAAGCTGCAGCCTTGCGTGTCTGCGTGTAGATAAGTTATTCAAAAAATGACCGGTCATTTCATATCTAACCGGGGTGATATTTTGGAAATGGTTTAATCATTTTGGGGGCTCTCAAGTGGTGATATTTTTTGTACCATTTGTCAATTCTGACCCCCCCCCCCTCTATTGTAAATCCCTTTGAACGCCTACGGCAGTGTGGGCATTCTGGTCGATTTATATATATATCGCCAAGAGCTATCCTAATGAACCAATCAGTAGCTTTATCGACCAGCTTGCATGCGTGTGGCGCAGCAAAATACCCCAGCTGGTTGATATAAGAACGGCAGGGTGCCGAACATGTTCCGGGGTAATAAGGAGTAAGGCGAGGTATATATATATTAATTCGAGGTACGTAAAGCATAAATCTCCTAATCTCGGTCGATTTAGCATTGGAAATAGACAAAATGCGTGGTGATCACTATCTTTGTATGCTACTACAATCCTCCACTTTACTTCACTCCACCTATCCGTACCCGATTCGATATACTTAAGTATGTATATGTTACTGACTCATACTGGTTCAGTCTACCCACGCATGTAAACCTTTTGGAGGGCCCAGTGAGGTACCGGAATCATACCCGATTTCAGAAAAATATACCAGTTAGATGTCAAGTGGGGTCATCTTTTGACTTGTTGTACCACGGATATAATCCGATTTGGTCTGCAATAGCAGAACTAATGTTGCTTTCTATCACAGTATAAAATGGACACTGTATACACCCTGTTAATTTTTAGCTACCCATTCGAGGGCGTCTTAGACATCTTCCCGCAGGTTATAGAAATGTGTCGAATTTATGGAAGGTGATGCTTCGATCAAGTACACACCATTAACACGTAGTATACAGCTTATACAGCCTTTACATGATATGGTAGAATTTCATGTCCGTTCGGACATATAAAATTTCGCATTACAATATGACACTAGCCCTTGGCCTATCAGAAGCCTATGTCAGACTTTTTGGGCCAATCGGCGTGCATCAAATCTCATGTTGCGCTGTAAGTAACAAATCGGACAAATCGGACATATTTTGTCCGATCCTAAAAACATATTTAATATGATCATAGTGAAAGCAAGACAATCTCATATTTTAAAAATACCGTGCTAGTTCGAACAGATATCGATTTGAGCAGGGATCTGCAATGCAGAAAGGTCGCCATCACCAAAAAGCGCTTAGTGTTCTTGCGGTTTGAATGCTGCACGAGCACACCTCAGCAGAAAACAACGCGCATCCAAACGTCATTACATAATAAAAAATATTTTACTTAAAGGTATTGTGTGTAACCTTTCTCAAGTTACGCTCTTCTTTGCGCGCTGAAGCCGATCCTTGGGTGCCGCTAGGCCCTGTGCGTTCTCCTCAGTTTCTCTAGCTCTTGTGCCGCCACGATGTCTCTCACCAGCGCTCTTCTCGACGCGCAGCAACCGCAGCAACTGCTGCCGAGCGACCGTTCCCGCGTCTTCGTTCAGTCTCCTGGTGCTGCTCGGCGCTGCGCCTAGCGCGCTTGCATTGGCGGCTGCCGAGATGCCCCTCTTCTTCTCAGTGCGCAGACCAGCGCCAAGCGCTTCCATGCGGGTCAGCCCCTCCACTTCTTCGTCTGGTTTGGCCTCCTCCTGCTCCTTCCATCTTCGTCCAGCACCGCCGTGTCGCCAGCATTGTGCTCCTCCATCAGCACCGCCAGCTCCATCTCATCACCGGCGCGCCGCCGTCGTCCACCTCATCGTGCTGCTGCTGCTTCCGCCGTACCGGGCGGGGGACGCAGCTGCCGTCCAAAACCACGTCACCGCCCAGCTTGTACAGCCGCTGCTGTCCAGAGGGACTCCCGCGAGATCACGGCCGCATTCGATGTCCTGCTCCTGCTTCTGTTGCTGCGAGGGCGGGCTCCGGCGCCAACTCCAACAGCAACAACACCACGGCCGTCGACACCAACCCTTCCGTGAGCAGCTCCACTGACTCCATTTCCGGCTCCGCCAGCAACGCCGCCGCCAACGTGGACGCGGACATCCCGCTATCCTGCACCGTGCCCTCTGCTGTCCGTGCTGCTGCCTGGCCGCCGTCCAGGACGGCATCATCCCCCCCCCTCCTCGTGCTGCCGCTGGCCTCGAGGGCCATCACCCGCTCGAGGCCCAGTCATTGTCCGCCCTGCCACCCCGCACGGTGACCTCTCCTGGGCATGCTGCCGCTGGCCCCGTTCGTCCCGCCACTGAAGGCGCACGCTCCGCCGGAGGCCGACCAGTAATCCACACGCCGCTGCCCTTCTTGCTGCTCCTGCTGTTGACAGCCAGCCCCGACAGCGGGCATTCCGCCCGCGGCTAATTGTAGTCCACGCCGCCGCTGTTCGTCCGTCCCATCCCGCTGCCGCTGCACCGAGCCGCCACCACTTGCCGATTTCCTTTTTGGGTGTGTTTTGTTTTCTGTGTGGCCACATCATTATCACTGTTAAAAATAATATATAAAATCCTAGAATTGTCCGAGCCTAATTTTCGGACATGAATTTGTCCGAAGCTGCACGGTATGAATCAAAGTCAGGAACCGAAAAAAAAACGCGAGTGCGCACGGGGGGGGGGGGGGGGTAATTTTAAATAAGTATTGCGATGTGCCCTAATACCTCCCAGCAACCACTTTCGCTAACCTGAAAGTGCTTGCAGCAAGATTTATCGAGCTGTGTTAGCCCAGGGTTGATCTAAAGCTCTCGGTTTTAGGTCCTGGTCCAGGTGGGGATGCGTTCTGTGCCGAACAATTTTAGCGATGTGATTGGCTAAGATTTCGCGCATTGTCCAGTTTTTGCTTATTCGTGTTTCAGGAGTACGATTTCCAGAACGCCAACACGAGCTGTTCCAGCTTGGGAATTTTGTGCTAGGAAACAACGGGTAGGAAAAAGGCATTATTCCCTCTCCTTGGCCCACGGTCAGGAACTTAGTGTTTTTGTGTGTGTGTGTGTTGCTGGTTAGTATATTGCTGCGGTCAAGTCAGTAGATGTGTGTGTGTGTACCGGGTACGCTGCGGGGCTATATGAGGCACTGTGGGGAGCACTGCGGTGCAGACCTATTTTCTTGCTAAGCTCATCGCCACATACACAGATAGTAGCGCACAGCGGTCGGTCAATTCAAAGATGACGGGCGGTCTGTAGCCGATCTTTTCAGAAATTACTTGGACAAGAGGAGCACACGTTCTCGAAATCACAAGCACAAAATAAGGCTTAGCAGAAAGCCCTATCCCGCTGTTTTTTGTAGAACAAGTTCTCCACCTGGACCAGGGCCTTAGGGGCTGGTCGCGCTGGCTGGTGCTGGTTCTCGGTCGGGATGACAAGCGATATGCGAAATGATATCGTATTATTTTTGCTCACTTTGGATATAACCATGACGATTCACCGAGAACCCGGGAACTCGATCCCCTTGCTGGTTCCCGGGTTCTCTGCGAATTGCAATGGTTATGTCCAAAATGAGCAAAACTAATACAGAAGTGAAAACTCGAGGCCGACTTTGTCGCTCAATCCAGCTTCCCTTTGGACCTTCTTCAATGTCTCCCGGGAAACGCCGCACACTTCGCTATTGTTGCGCATCGGGTAGATCGCCAAGTAGCGACTCTGCATCAGGATGAAGATCACGATGTACTTGTAGCCCGACTTGGAGACGGGCGTGATGGCGCCCAGCACATCCGAACACACCGACGTGTCATTGCGTGCGTTCTCCATTGCTTCCATCTCATCCTTCGTTGAGCTGAAAGGCTTCCGAGACTGCTTAGCCGCCGCACAATATTCGCAAACAGCTTCGCGCTCATTTGGAACACTGTTGAGCTCCCCGTCCTCTTTCAAGGCATTGAAGTGGTGTGTGCGAGTTGCCCTGATGGTTGCAACAGTGTTGAGCATGTCGGAGTCGAGATTAGACTCGCGTCATCGAGGCGATGGAAAGTGAACACCAGCAACATCAAGCGGTGTATGTGTGTGGGGGGGCATGTTGTGGTGTCTTCTTAAACGTCTTCAGTCGAAAAAAATTGTATCAGGACACCCCTTCCTCCCGCTCTTCGAGAGTGTGTCCGACCGTGTATTTCTGCGTGGAGAGCTTTCACTGTAGTTTTCAGTCAGACGCAATCACAAGAGCGATTCCTCAGGCTCCCCTCCGTCTTTAAGAAAGCGAGATTGTCAGGACAATAATAGAGAGTAAGGTCAAAGGTTCTTAACCCCTCTAACCCCGTATTCTGTATCCTACAGAATAAGCATTGTCACAGGACATAATATCCAGCAAACTTGTCCTCTCTTTCGAACTTCGCATATGAATGTTTGTATAGCCGGTATTGTGCACATCTTCCTGTTAGATTAGCGATGGGAAGATAAACGGGGTTTATTCCGCGGTAATAGACGGACGAGTATAAACCACCAACAGGTTTGAAAATTCGGGTGGAAGCCTAAAACCGCCGCGTGTCAGCTACTCGTACTTTCCTTCATTCCGAAACTGCGCTGTTCAAGACGTCGCAATGCAAGCTTTGTTGGGGCCCGTCGAGCGCGCTCAAGTGGCCAAGGACCATGGCCGAAGACGATCATGATGAGCGCCATTGTGATCTACAGGTAAGCGAGAGCGTGTACTTTGCTCTGTAACATTGTACTAGTGGTATATTGATTCTACGTTGCGATGTTGATTACCAGACCTGGTGATCCGACCCAGACGACGCTATGAGCTCTCGCGTGTGGCCCGATTGGCAGATCGATTGCGGAGTCAGCGCACAACCTCATCGGTTCCTACGAAGCCGGCTACAGCCGGGTCTACCGCTATACTGTAGCTGATGTAGTGGCTACTCAAGAGGCTACAGAAGAAGCGCTCCTCATGGTGTGGCTACACCGGAGACTACAGAAGAAGCGGTAAATGCTACGACGGATGTTACAGAAGAAGCTCTCCGCGTGATGAGGTTGCACCGGAGATTACAGAAGAAGGGACAGAGGCTACGACGGAGGCTACCGATGAAAGCGGCATGAATGGAGCGGCAGTGCCGGAGGCTACAGAGCAAAGCGGAGGCTGCCAACATGGCGAAGATGACCCACGGCTGGCGCGAACATTGAAGAGCGTGCGCATGTAAAGGCAGAAGTAGACGTTGGCATGAATATCATATATTGTCCTGTTTCGTACAAGAGGAACCGTGTGTAGTGCGTGTCATTACGGGCTATTGAGCATGCAAGCTCCCTGGTGTTGTTAGAGAGACAATCGTAACAAGCTTGTTAGGTGGGCTAAAGAAATCTAATGATGCGCTAATGTCAAGCACAAGGAAGAATTCGCCCAGTTCCTCCTCACTACGTCAGTTAGGAACAGGGCGATTTCTTCCTCCGCGTTTATCGCGACGTGCCGAAGATGGGTGGCTGGAGCCGAAGTATGCTGCCTTAGCAGCCTTGCAAGGTATTACCATGTAGCAGGTTTTGAGCGTGCTCTACACTCGCCACGACCAATAGAAGCTCGCCATTTCGGCATATGGTGGATACATTGAGCATGTTTTATCACTTTCGTAGCTGTTCTGTGCACAATGTACCCAGCGCTTGACCGCAAGATGCAAAAGGGCTTCCAACAGCAAATCTTTGACAGGTTTTGAAGTATACTTTAATCAAGTCTAATGATTATTCTGTGGGATACAGAATAAGGTCTGGGGCTAGAAGGGTTAATGGCGCCCATATCAAGGGCATATAATGAGTGGAATAGCTTACCGTAAAAAACGGATCCAGTGCGAAACCAGTTTTCCACTATCAATACCATTTTATGCACCGTTATTAGATTACAGAGTCGTCTAAGGGCCTTTCAGCCAATAGAAATTGGGTATCGAGACAGCTGGGCTCGGCTTTTAATTGACATGTGTCGCACTGGACCCGTTTATTACGGTACATCGCTATCGTGTAGACCAAACGTATTTTTCTGTATTTCATCTTCCTGTAGCCGACCACTTTAACATTTTAGTATATTAAGCAAAACAGCTTCCTCCAGATGCTCGCGTGGCCCAATGGATACGGCGCTGCCCTCCTAAGGCAGAGATTGCGGGTTCGCCGCGCAATATTCGCAAACAGCTTCGCGCTCATTTGGAACACCGTTGAGCTCCCCGTCCTCTTTCAAGGCATTGAAGTGGTATGTGCGAGTTGCCCTGATGGTTGCAACAGTGTTGAGCACAGCTGGGCTCGGCTTTTAATTGACATGTGTCGCACTGGACCCGTTTATTACGGTACATCGCTATCGTGTAGACCAAACGTATTTTTCTGTATTTCATCTTCCTGTAGCCGACCACTTTAACATTTTAGTATATTAAGCAAAACAGCTTCCTCCAGATGCTCGCGTGGCCCAATGGATACGGCGCTGCCCTCCTAAGGCAGAGATTGCGGGTTCGTCGCGCAATATTCGCAAACAGCTTCGCGCTCATTTGGAACACCGTTGAGCTCCCCGTCCTCTTTCAAGGCATTGAAGTGGTATGTGCGAGTTGCCCTGATGGTTGCAACAGTGTTGAGCACAGCTGGGCTCGGCTTTTAATTGACATGTGTCGCACTGGACCCGTTTATTACGGTACATCGCTATCGTGTAGACCAAACGTATTTTTCTGTATTTCATCTTCCTGTAGCCGACCACTTTAACATTTTAGTATATTAAGCAAAACAGCTTCCTCCAGATGCTCGCGTGGCCCAATGGATACGGCGCTGCCCTCCTAAGGCAGAGATTGCGGGTTCGCCGCGCAATATTCGCAAACAGCTTCGCGCTCATTTGGAACACCGTTGAGCTCCCCGTCCTCTTTCAAGGCATTGAAGTGGTATGTGCGAGTTGCCCTGATGGTTGCAACAGTGTTGAGCACAGCTGGGCTCGGCTTTTAATTGACATGTGTCGCACTGGACCCGTTTATTACGGTACATCGCTATCGTGTAGACCAAACGTATTTTTCTGTATTTCATCTTCCTGTAGCCGACCACTTTAACATTTTAGTATATTAAGCAAAACAGCTTCCTCCAGATGCTCGCGTGGCCCAATGGATACGGCGCTGCCCTCCTAAGGCAGAGATTGCGGGTTCGTCGCGCAATATTCGCAAACAGCTTCGCGCTCATTTGGAACACCGTTGAGCTCCCCGTCCTCTTTCAAGGCATTGAAGTGGTATGTGCGAGTTGCCCTGATGGTTGCAACAGTGTTGAGCACAGCTGGGCTCGGCTTTTAATTGACATGTGTCGCACTGGACCCGTTTATTACGGTACATCGCTATCGTGTAGACCAAACGTATTTTTCTGTATTTCATCTTCCTGTAGCCGACCACTTTAACATTTTAGTATATTAAGCAAAACAGCTTCCTCCAGATGCTCGCGTGGCCCAATGGATACGGCGCTGCCCTCCTAAGCTTCCTCCAGATGCTCGCGTGGCCCAATGGATACGGCGCTGCCCTCCTAAGGCAGAGATTGCGGGTTCGTCGCGCAATATTCGCAAACAGCTTCGCGCTCATTTGGAACACCGTTGAGCTCCCCGTCCTCTTTCAAGGCATTGAAGTGGTATGTGCGAGTTGCCCTGATGGTTGCAACAGTGTTGAGCACAGCTGGGCTCGGCTTTTAATTGACATGTGTCGCACTGGACCCGTTTATTACGGTACATCGCTATCGTGTAGACCAAACGTATTTTTCTGTATTTCATCTTCCTGTAGCCGACCACTTTAACATTTTAGTATATTAAGCAAAACTGCTTCCTCCAGATGCTCGCGTGGCCCAATGGATACGGCGCTGCCCTCCTAAGGCAGAGATTGCGGGTTCGCCGCGCAATATTCGCAAACAGCTTCGCGCTCATTTGGAACACCGTTGAGCTCCCCGTCCTCTTTCAAGGCATTGAAGTGGTATGTGCGAGTTGCCCTGATGGTTGCAACAGTGTTGAGCACAGCTGGGCTCGGCTTTTAATTGACATGTGTCGCACTGGACCCGTTTATTACGGTACATCGCTATCGTGTAGACCAAACGTATTTTTCTGTATTTCATCTTCCTGTAGCCGACCACTTTAACATTTTAGTATATTAAGCAAAACAGCTTCCTCCAGATGCTCGCGTGGCCCAATGGATACGGCGCTGCCCTCCTAAGGCAGAGATTGCGGGTTCGCCGCGCAATATTCGCAAACAGCTTCGCGCTCATTTGGAACACCGTTGAGCTCCCCGTCCTCTTTCAAGGCATTGAAGTGGTATGTGCGAGTTGCCCTGATGGTTGCAACAGTGTTGAGCACAGCTGGGCTCGGCTTTTAATTGACATGTGTCGCACTGGACCCGTTTATTACGGTACATCGCTATCGTGTAGACCAAACGTATTTTTCTGTATTTCATCTTCCTGTAGCCGACCACTTTAACATTTTAGTATATTAAGCAAAACAGCTTCCTCCAGATGCTCGCGTGGCCCAATGGATACGGCGCTGCCCTCCTAAGGCAGAGATTGCGGGTTCGTCGCGCAATATTCGCAAACAGCTTCGCGCTCATTTGGAACACCGTTGAGCTCCCCGTCCTCTTTCAAGGCATTGAAGTGGTATGTGCGAGTTGCCCTGATGGTTGCAACAGTGTTGAGCACAGCTGGGCTCGGCTTTTAATTGACATGTGTCGCACTGGACCCGTTTATTACGGTACATCGCTATCGTGTAGACCAAACGTATTTTTCTGTATTTCATCTTCCTGTAGCCGACCACTTTAACATTTTAGTATATTAAGCAAAACAGCTTCCTCCAGATGCTCGCGTGGCCCAATGGATACGGCGCTGCCCTCCTAAGGCAGAGATTGCGGGTTCGTCGCGCAATATTCGCAAACAGCTTCGCGCTCATTTGGAACACCGTTGAGCTCCCCGTCCTCTTTCAAGGCATTGAAGTGGTATGTGCGAGTTGCCCTGATGGTTGCAACAGTGTTGAGCACAGCTGGGCTCGGCTTTTAATTGACATGTGTCGCACTGGACCCGTTTATTACGGTACATCGCTATCGTGTAGACCAAACGTATTTTTCTGTATTTCATCTTCCTGTAGCCGACCACTTTAACATTTTAGTATATTAAGCAAAACAGCTTCCTCCAGATGCTCGCGTGGCCCAATGGATACGGCGCTGCCCTCCTAAGGCAGAGATTGCGGGTTCGTCGCGCAATATTCGCAAACAGCTTCGCGCTCATTTGGAACACCGTTGAGCTCCCCGTCCTCTTTCAAGGCATTGAAGTGGTATGTGCGAGTTGCCCTGATGGTTGCAACAGTGTTGAGCACAGCTGGGCTCGGCTTTTAATTGACATGTGTCGCACTGGACCCGTTTATTACGGTACATCGCTATCGTGTAGACCAAACGTATTTTTCTGTATTTCATCTTCCTGTAGCCGACCACTTTAACATTTTAGTATATTAAGCAAAACAGCTTCCTCCAGATGCTCGCGTGGCCCAATGGATACGGCGCTGCCCTCCTAAGGCAGAGATTGCGGGTTCGCCGCGCAATATTCGCAAACAGCTTCGCGCTCATTTGGAACACCGTTGAGCTCCCCGTCCTCTTTCAAGGCATTGAAGTGGTATGTGCGAGTTGCCCTGATGGTTGCAACAGTGTTGAGCACAGCTGGGCTCGGCTTTTAATTGACATGTGTCGCACTGGACCCGTTTATTACGGTACATCGCTATCGTGTAGACCAAACGTATTTTTCTGTATTTCATCTTCCTGTAACCGACCACTTTAACATTTTAGTATATTAAGCAAAACAGCTTCCTCCAGATGCTCGCGTGGCCCAATGGATACGGCGCTGCCCTCCTAAGGCAGAGATTGCGGGTTCGTCGCGCAATATTCGCAAACAGCTTCGCGCTCATTTGGAACACCGTTGAGCTCCCCGTCCTCTTTCAAGGCATTGAAGTGGTATGTGCGAGTTGCCCTGATGGTTGCAACAGTGTTGAGCACAGCTGGGCTCGGCTTTTAATTGACATGTGTCGCACTGGACCCGTTTATTACGGTACATCGCTATCGTGTAGACCAAACGTATTTTTCTGTATTTCATCTTCCTGTAGCCGACCACTTTAACATTTTAGTATATTAAGCAAAACAGCTTCCTCCAGATGCTCGCGTGGCCCAATGGATACGGCGCTGCCCTCCTAAGGCAGAGATTGCGGGTTCGTCGCGCAATATTCGCAAACAGCTTCGCGCTCATTTGGAACACCGTTGAGCTCCCCGTCCTCTTTCAAGGCATTGAAGTGGTATGTGCGAGTTGCCCTGATGGTTGCAACAGTGTTGAGCACAGCTGGGCTCGGCTTTTAATTGACATGTGTCGCACTGGACCCGTTTATTACGGTACATCGCTATCGTGTAGACCAAACGTATTTTTCTGTATTTCATCTTCCTGTGCTTCGCGCTCATTTGGAACACCGTTGAGCTCCCCGTCCTCTTTCAAGGCATTGAAGTGGTATGTGCGAGTTGCCCTGATGGTTGCAACAGTGTTGAGCACAGCTGGGCTCGGCTTTTAATTGACATGTGTCGCACTGGACCCGTTTATTACGGTACATCGCTATCGTGTAGACCAAACGTATTTTTCTGTATTTCATCTTCCTGTAGCCGACCACTTTAACATTTTAGTATATTAAGCAAAACAGCTTCCTCCAGATGCTCGCGTGGCCCAATGGATACGGCGCTGCCCTCCTAAGGCAGAGATTGCGGGTTCGCCGCGCAATATTCGCAAACAGCTTCGCGCTCATTTGGAACACCGTTGAGCTCCCCGTCCTCTTTCAAGGCATTGAAGTGGTATGTGCGAGTTGCCCTGATGGTTGCAACAGTGTTGAGCACAGCTGGGCTCGGCTTTTAATTGACATGTGTCGCACTGGACCCGTTTATTACGGTACATCGCTATCGTGTAGACCAAACGTATTTTTCTGTATTTCATCTTCCTGTAGCCGACCACTTTAACATTTTAGTATATTAAGCAAAACAGCTTCCTCCAGATGCTCGCGTGGCCCAATGGATACGGCGCTGCCCTCCTAAGGCAGAGATTGCGGGTTCGTCGCGCAATATTCGCAAACAGCTTCGCGCTCATTTGGAACACCGTTGAGCTCCCCGTCCTCTTTCAAGGCATTGAAGTGGTATGTGCGAGTTGCCCTGATGGTTGCAACAGTGTTGAGCACAGCTGGGCTCGGCTTTTAATTGACATGTGTCGCACTGGACCCGTTTATTACGGTACATCGCTATCGTGTAGACCAAACGTATTTTTCTGTATTTCATCTTCCTGTAGCCGACCACTTTAACATTTTAGTATATTAAGCAAAACAGCTTCCTCCAGATGCTCGCGTGGCCCAATGGATACGGCGCTGCCCTCCTAAGGCAGAGATTGCGGGTTCGCCGCGCAATATTCGCAAACAGCTTCGCGCTCATTTGGAACACCGTTGAGCTCCCCGTCCTCTTTCAAGGCATTGAAGTGGTATGTGCGAGTTGCCCTGATGGTTGCAACAGTGTTGAGCACAGCTGGGCTCGGCTTTTAATTGACATGTGTCGCACTGGACCCGTTTATTACGGTACATCGCTATCGTGTAGACCAAACGTATTTTTCTGTATTTCATCTTCCTGTAGCCGACCACTTTAACATTTTAGTATATTAAGCAAAACAGCTTCCTCCAGATGCTCGCGTGGCCCAATGGATACGGCGCTGCCCTCCTAAGGCAGAGATTGCGGGTTCGCCGCGCAATATTCGCAAACAGCTTCGCGCTCATTTGGAACACCGTTGAGCTCCCCGTCCTCTTTCAAGGCATTGAAGTGGTATGTGCGAGTTGCCCTGATGGTTGCAACAGTGTTGAGCATGTCGGAGTCGAGATTAGACTCGCGTCATCGAGGCGATGGAAAGTGAACATCAGCAACATCAAGCGGTGTATGTGTGTATGTGGGGGGGGGCATGTTGTGGTGTCTTCTTGAACGTCTTCAGTCGAAAAAAAAATATCAGGACACCCCTTCCTCCCGCTCTTCGAGAGTGTGTCCGACCGTGTATTTCTGCGTGGAGAGCTTTCACTGTAGTTTTCAGTCAGACGCAATCACAAGAGCGATTCCTCAGGCTCCCCTCCATCTTTAAGAAAGCGAGATTGTCAGGACAATAATAGAGAGTAAGGTCAAAGGTTCTTAATGGCGCCCAAATCAAGGGCATATAATGAGTGGAATAGCTTACCGTAAAAAACGGATCCAGTGCGACACTATCAATACCATTTTATACACCGGTATTAGATTACAGAGTCGTCTAAGGGCCTTTCAGCCAATAGAAATTGGGTATCGAGACAGCTGGGCTCGGCTTTTAATTGACATGTGTCACACTGGACCCGTTTATTACGGTACATCGCTATCGTGTAGACCAAACGTATTTTTCTGTATTTCATCTTCCTGTAGCCGACCACTTTAACATTTTAGTATATTAAGCAAAACAGCTTCCTCCAGATGCTCGCGTGGCCCAATGGATACGGCGCTGCCCTCCTAAGGCAGAGATTGCGGGTTCGTCGCGCAATATTCGCAAACAGCTTCGCGCTCATTTGGAACACCGTTGAGCTCCCCGTCCTCTTTCAAGGCATTGAAGTGGTATGTGCGAGTTGCCCTGATGGTTGCAACAGTGTTGAGCATGTCGGAGTCGAGATTAGACTCACGTCATCGAGGCGATGGAAAGTGAACATCAGCAACATCAAGCGGTGTATGTGTGTATGTGGGGGGGGGCATGTTGTGGTGTCTTCTTGAACGTCTTCAGTCGAAAAAAAAATATCAGGACACCCCTTCCTCCCGCTCTTCGAGAGTGTGTCCGACCGTGTATTTCTGCGTGGAGAGCTTTCACTGTAGTTTTCAGTCAGACGCAATCACAAGAGCGATTCCTCAGGCTCCCCTCCGTCTTTAAGAAAGCGAGATTGTCAGGACAATAATAGAGAGTAAGGTCAAAGGTTCTTAATGGCGCCCAAATCAAGGGCATATAATGAGTGGAATAGCTTACCGTAAAAAACGGATCCAGTGCGACACCAGTTTTCCACTATCAATACCATTTTATACACCGGTATTAGATTACAGAGTCGTCTAAGGGCCTTTCAGCCAATAGAAATTGGGTATCGAGACAGCTGGGCTCGGCTTTTAATTGACATGTGTCACACTGGACCCGTTTATTACGGTACATCGCTATCGTGTAGACCAAACGTATTTTTCTGTATTTCATCTTCCTGTAGCCGACCACTTTAACATTTTAGTATATTAAGCAAAACAGCTTCCTCCAGATGCTCGCGTGGCCCAATGGATACGGCGCTGCCCTCCTAAGGCAGAGATTGCGGGTTCGTCGCGCAATATTCGCAAACAGCTTCGCGCTCATTTGGAACACCGTTGAGCTCCCCGTCCTCTTTCAAGGCATTGAAGTGGTATGTGCGAGTTGCCCTGATGGTTGCAACAGTGTTGAGCATGTCGGAGTCGAGATTAGACTCGCGTCATCGAGGCGATGGAAAGTGAACATCAGCAACATCAAGCGGTGTATGTGTGTATGTGGGGGGGGGCATGTTGTGGTGTCTTCTTGAACGTCTTCAGTCGAAAAAAAAATATCAGGACACCCCTTCCTCCCGCTCTTCGAGAGTGTGTCCGACCGTGTATTTCTGCGTGGAGAGCTTTCACTGTAGTTTTCAGTCAGACGCAATCACAAGAGCGATTCCTCAGGCTCCCCTCCGTCTTTAAGAAAGCGAGATTGTCAGGACAATAATAGAGAGTAAGGTCAAAGGTTCTTAATGGCGCCCAAATCAAGGGCATATAATGAGTGGAATAGCTTACCGTAAAAAACGGATCCAGTGCGACACCAGTTTTCCACTATCAATACCATTTTATACACCGGTATTAGATTACAGAGTCGTCTAAGGGCCTTTCAGCCAATAGAAATTGGGTATCGAGACAGCTGGGCTCGGCTTTTAATTGACATGTGTCGCACTGGACCCGTTTATTACGGTACATCGCTATCGTGTAGACCAAACGTATTTTTCTGTATTTCATCTTCCTGTAGCCGACCACTTTAACATTTTAGTATATTAAGCAAAACAGCTTCCTCCAGATGCTCGCGTGGCCCAATGGATACGGCGCTGCCCTCCTAAGGCAGAGATTGCGGGTTCAAGTCCCGCCGTGAGTAATTGTTTTTCGGCTGGATCGGCGTTTCTGCCGAAGGGGTGCGCGCTAGCGACAGCACTACTGTATGTACCCTCACTTCCGACATCGGTTTTTCTGTCGGATTTAAAGGGGGATTGTATTTGCTTGGGTTTAAGCTGTATTTTGGCTGATTGATGTCAAGCTCATCATGATCGCAGATTCATTGAGAGGCAAGACTACATGTATGGATAGCACCAGCAGTGCGAGACGAGTTTAGCGCACATCGTACCGCAGATTACCTCGCTCCATTGCATTGGCGTTAGCTGGTCTTTGTAGACCTTCTCCAAAAGCTCCGTCCGGGCTCAGCGCGCCGAACACGACTCAGCTCCAGCCCTAGTAACATGGGCTAAGATATAGCGCAGGCACTTCGCGCTTGAGCGCTCCGTTTCGCTGTACGAGGCACTGTCGGCGCACGTGCTGGACGCGTCCACAGGGACGTACGTTTCCTGGGTGGCGTCGAGCAGCTTTCTCCTATCCGCGGCGGCGCTGCTCTTCGCCTTCGTCCCGGGAGAGGTCTACCAGGAGCTGGCGGGGTGCCACACCCAGCAGTAGCAGCAGCAGCAGCACAGAATTCTTCTTGCGTCATCGCCGTGTCTTCATCATGCTTCTTCACACTTGCCCCCGACGCTCCTCACTGCTGCCTGCCAAAATGTGAAATGAATGGTTTTGGCGCGAAAACCTCGTAACGATAATAATATATTAGCTAGGTCTTCTGCAACCTTATAAATATAAACACATTAAATATCAGAAGTAATAAGGAGTATTTGGTGTCGGAAGTGAGGGTACCAACAGTATGCGCTGTTACCCAACTATAGAGTAGCAATGTGGTCGCCACAGCTCTGATTACTTCACTGGTTGCATTTTTATTTTTAGAACAAACACAAGAAAACTCGCCCGGATATAAATCTATTCAGAATACCTTCATTTCTAAGGTTTACAACAGCGGAAGCGGCAGCCACTTCTCCGAGTTACTTCATTTCGTTTCTCAGTGAGGTACATTGATTTCACTTAGGTCTAGCTAACGACTTCCTATGTCCGTACAGCAGAAGCCTCCTTATCTTCCGTTGCCTACCAAACTCTAGCTGTTGCACCCGACCCAGCCTAGAGTAATGCCAGGATTTACACTGTGGCAGCTGCGGGTTCCGAGGTACCCTCAATTAAGTTACGAGCGATCCAATGCCCTACATCATTATGGGCGTGAGCAGCGGCAGCTGTCCACTGTGGGTTGAGGGCCTGGAGCGAGTTGGGCGCTCTTTGCGCGCTAATCTTCGAGTCCATTGCAATATTTGCAAATGTGTCAGCCATCTTGTTGTAAGCTCGGAGATGATGTTGCCACGAGAATACGCCGAGCTGCTCAGCAACACGCCGGCTTTGCCAGTAAATATCCTTCATATGCTTGGCCAATGGAGGCTGTCTCGTAGAATCCTGGCGAATGATTATGAGACTGTCACCAACATGCAGCGGCGCCCATTGATTCCGAGTTACTTCATGCTGTAGCTTTGGTACCTTCGGCTTCATCCTTTACTGTGCACTAGGTCCCTATTAGTCGAATGACGTATCAATCTAGACCAGGGGTGTGAATAAAACCACCGGACGGTGTCCCAAAGAGTCGGCGTTCCGGTGCCAAATCCTGGGGGTCCGGTACGTAATTCTGTGTTCGGGTGCTTGGCCTGGGATAAGGCTAAGGATTTGAAGATGAATTCAACCCCCGAGAAGCCGAGCCAAAAGAAAGAATCGAATAGTGTAGGGCGTGCAGATTCTAAGTGTTATGGCTTAGCGCATCCTTCTCTATTCTATGAGGTGCAATTTGCCCCGTCATTCTTTAAGGCGATTCAGAGGCAGCCGATAGCCAGCTTTCTCCATTTTTGGAATTTGTAGACACAAAATATTATTGTGATCAGCACCCCGAATGTCTAATCGGATAGTAAATCGGACAATGTTTTGGCTAATTTAGACTTCGAAGTCTTATTTATGTCGACTGATCTCCTAATTAGATCCCCCGCCTCTATTTTAGACTAGGAAATATCATGGCAATTAGCAAGCAGGCTCATGTGGCTAGTCCGATTCGCAACAGATTTGTTTGTAAATAAGGCGGAATGTCACCGTGAAAGTCGACATTCCGAGCTATTTGAGCTAAATAATTATAGCTCTGTAGGTGCCGATGTAAGCCACCAGCTTTGTAGCAATATGGAAGGTGCCAAAGCATTTAGAGGCAGAGCACTAGATAGTCAACTCGGCCGGAGCCTTATTGGCACGGACAACTCCAAACTTCGGGCTATATTGGCCCAAAGGCGTTTCGGTAGTTCTTGGCTGCCGACGCTAAATTGGACAGAGTCGAGCCTCGCCAGCTTGTCCAAGCAGGATTACACACTCCTGTTTGCTAATCGATTTCGCTTTTGTAGCTAGTATTATACCCTTATGTACGGAAATTTAAATCCGATTTAAGATAAATTTGCTACTGTAGCTAATAAGGCGTGGACATTCCAACCGCGTTTCACAATACATTGCATTACAATGAGCTGTCACGATTAATTGCAGTCTGTTTCAAAGATTTTTCTCGCGTTAAGCATCCCGTAACTGTACTGGTCTAGAGGCTGATGATAATTACACCGGACGAGGCTTTGATTACGATTCCCCTAAATCAGCCCTAAATAAGCAGGACGAGGATGGAGGTCATGCCGCAAACGCAAACTCGATATACAAGTGAGTAAATCGTATACGCAAATAAAAGTAAGTAGTTTAGACACAGTGAGTAGTATAAAGTGAGTGAGTAGTTGACCGAGCAGTGTGACGGTAAGGGGCTGGTCGCGCTGGCTGGTGCTGGTTCTCGGTCGGGTGTTCCAGAGATGGGCAGGGGTAGGTGAACTACTATGGCGGCGAGTACTGGAACCGATTGAAGGAACCTTTGTGCGGCGACAACTCTCTAAAGCTGTTTCTATTGACTTCACGTTTCGTAACGGAAACCGCAAGGCAATGTAGAGGTGGATTTACCCCTTCCTCCAGCGCCATCGCCTCAGTATTCGTCGCAGAACTCGGGTCGGTCAAAAACTAAGCGGGCATCTGGAGGAAATTCATCGAGAGTTTGTGAAATTGGTGAACGAGCGCTTTGAGAGTGGGGTGCGCTGGAGGGTACACCGCCTGCACTTCCGCGTTAATATGGACGAAACGGCGGTGTGTTTTTAGATGACGGCAAATATACGACGATCAATACCACTAATGCTCGCACAGTACCTATTCGCGGGAGCGGATCAAACTCGAGACGCCTCACAGCCTGTGTGACGTGCACAGGACGGCACTAAGCTGCCTCTTTTCGTTGTTTTCAAGGCCAAACCCGGTGCCACTATCGAGAACAAGCTTGACGAAATATGTCACCTAATGTATTTGGGTGCTGTCAGGAGAATGGGTGGATGGGCGAGCGGGGTTGCCAAATTTGGCTGGAGAAGGTGTGGAAACCTTACGCAGCCTCGCATCCATCGTCTTTGCTCATGTTGGACGAGTTTAAATGCCACGTGCAGGCATCTATCGTACAAAGTCTAAACGATCTCGGGACTGGAGTGGAAATAATACCGGGCGGGTACACCTGAGTGCTACAACCTTGTGATGTCGGTATTAATAAGCCTCTGAAGGACAACATCCGTGCCCAATATAATGCCTGTTCTGTTACCAAAATGGATCGCCTGCGAAGTGGCGAAAAAGCGCCTGTCTCCGAGCGTGAGGACATCACAGCATGGCTTCTCAATGCATGGAATGCGATCACATCGGACACGATCGCTAGGACCTTCTCGTCTATTGGCTACGGAGTTACCCAAGCACATAAGACGCTGGAGAATGCTCAGCAAGAACATGCGGAGGACACCCAGCTTGAAGCGAATGCAGACAACGAAGGTGAGATTGAGATGCATAATTTAGTCATTAGGCTTTAAAGTGCTCTTCAATATCAGCGAGCATTAGGCAGCGAACAATATCTTGATTTCGTTCTGAGCGCCGGCGCTTCTGGCTGTTGTCGTATTTGCGAAGGTCCTCCACTACTGTAGCCATTTTACTCGCGTATGCTTCTTTCATGCGTAGTGTAGGAACCCCACATGACATGTCTGTGAGCCTGACCGGATGACATTAGCCTTGACGGCGTACTGAAAACTCTCTCCTTCCCCTTGGACTACTTCCGCTCGAAATGCAATGATATCGTCGACTTAAGTTCCTACCCGCAGATTTCGTGAGCTGCGCAACTACGACCGCCCCCCCCCCCGTTGTCACACCCCACCACGTCGACGCCCGAGGGTAGAGGGAGATCAGCCCTCTCCTACATTGCAGAGAGTACAGAGAGTTTGGACGTTAGTCCAGGTGTGGTTACAGCTTATACAAGTCCGCGCAGCATAGCCTTACCATGTCTTCTTCCCCCGTCCGATCTCCATGTGGTGATTATGATTCGGACCCAAAGGATATATGATTGGTCAAAATGCGATTGGGGGGGGGGGCAACTCATCGTCGAATGCGGTAGTTATCGACCTCAAAGGGAAGTTTTGTATGGGTTGTCTGTTGATATGTCATATTGTACTACCCTTATAATAACCGTCGTTGATCTTACTCATCTATAGAGTCATACTGCAACGTTCCTGGGCACTGTATTTTTTATTATATATTTATGCAACTTAACCCTTTCGTGACCAAAAGGTGCATTTTGCCCCCCTTGAAACCTGCCATGACGGGGGGGCAAAATGCCCCCGTTGACAGAAGTTCAACTACGAATTCACCTACTTTTCAAACGACCAATCATAGCGGATCGGTCTCCCCCACCCCTTGAATAGATTACGCTATGTGGTAGACATAACTGTAAAATATGCATTTAAGTACGAAATGTATGAAGATTGCGTCAGCAAAACCCCATAAATTACGAGTTGTAAGTGACGACGCACACGTGGTTTTGCAGTTCGGCGCAGGTCTCATCTCCGCTGTCCTGACTACTCCCGTCCGCACCCAAGCATTTCAATACAAATACTAAGACATTTACCAGTGCTTATCTGGACCTGTCATGCGCACGACCTTCAGTTTCGAAGACGACATGGAGCTGGTCCAGCTTGCCCGCTCCTACGTCGATAGAGGCTCCAGAGTCTCGTGGACCGACATCGCGCACCGCATGCGGCGCACAGGGCACACTGCCACCGCACTGCAAGGGCGCCTCCGTACGCTGATGCGCACGTGGGGGCGCGACATCTCCCGCTCCCCCCCCCCAGCTTCTTCACGCAAGTTCGGCGGCCGCGAGGACGACCACCAGACATCACACGACAGCTGCGGGGACGTGCCACCGCGCCGACCTCCTCGACATCATCAAAGGTGCTTTCCAGTGCGGCGCCAGCGCGTGCCCGTGATCAAGCCGATTCGACGGACGAGTTGCTACGAAGTGCTCCTGGGCGTGCTGCTTCGTCTACGCCACCTAGGTCGCGGTCGAGCATGGAGCCATTGTCGGCTCTCCCCCGGGTTTTATCCGCCAGTGGCCCGCCATATCAAGCTGCACCCACCGGTGTCTCGCCCCGACGCGCTGACAACGATACTGAAGTGCCGACGCCCTCCACAGAACGCCATGTTCCTCTGGTCGCGGAAGCTGCGAACGTCAGCATGCCCTATGGGTTGCTACGGTCGTCAAACTCGGATCATGGCACGAATGATACGCCCAGCTCAAACGATACCGCGGAGTCAAGCTGTAACGACGGTAAGCTGGACGCCTCAGCAGTTTTGGTGAATGACCGTTTGCCCCCGTTGTCTCCGTCAAGTGTTGAGCAAGCTGTCACGACCATATTTGCGGATATCCCCCGAGAGGTGATTATGAATGACCAAAGCAAACCCCATCGCAACGCCGGTGAGGTGATGCCAGAAGGGATAAGCGCCCTGTTAGCTGAAGTGGGTCCTCTTGACGGGCGAGATCTGTTCTTAGACATTGGAGCGGGGATCGGCAACGTAGTCGCTCAAGTTGCGCTGGGGACGACTGTGTACCAAGCGATTGGAATTGAACTACGTGAGGACATTCACAGCTTGGGAGCGGAAATGATGTGTAAAGCACGCACGCAACAAGACTACGTGAGCGTACCTCGCTCTTCCGCAATGACGTCGCTGCTGTGCCTATTGCGTACACTCCACCGTTCGCTGACTCAACGGTTGTCTACTGGAACAACGTGCTCTTCGACACTCCTGTTATTGAGCACGTCAAAGACCAGCTCTGCGGAATGACTATGATTCGCTTTCTAGTGAGTTGCTTGAACATGTGTCCACGACATCGTGAGTTTTGTCAAAGCTCTTTCTGTGCGTCATTTACGCTGCACAAACAACTTGGTCTTCCCTGTAGCTGGAAAGCAGAGCTGCAACAAGTGTTCATTTACAAGCCGAAGTAGTTCGTGCGTCGTGGTAATGGTACATGTCGATCCGACCCAATTTTCATACTATAATCAAGTAACATGTTCACGTTGAAGAAGTTTCATTTGTTTAAAGCTTTGCTGTAATTTGCATACTTAGATCAAGATACTTACGCCTCTTACAACACAATTGCACGCACGACTAGAAGCCTCTGTGTCGCGTGTGTCCGTGCCGTTAGCATTGCCGTTGTGCTCTTGTTGCTCACGTTTCAGCTTATACAAGGTTGAACTCGTGCGCACCTTGCCAGTGCTGGAGAAGAGCTTGTTTGGTAGGTAGAAGCGGTGGTACTTCTCCCAGCATGTCCACGTCGTTTAGAAACATGTGTACGGCTTGTTCGAAACGTGGACGCTCTGGCAGAGGCAAACATTATGAAGGACGCAGACGTCCGTCACCTCCGTTGCATACCTGCCTTCCGATCTGCATACTACACATTTGCGGCGCTTGCGGTTCATATCCGTGTAGAACTGCTTCGAGGCTACTGCTGAACAGCGCTTTTGTGGACTTCCAGTGTTTCGTGTGTCGCCATTACCACCTGCGATCCAAACCGTGCTAGAAGGAGATGTTTGCTCGGGTATATCTTCTCCTGAGCTTGTGTCAGTGTAGAACATTTGCCGCTCACTTGGTGCTTCTTTCCACTTTCCTGACAAAAGCTCAGAAATCAGTTCGACGACGAAAGCGCGGTGCGGGTCCCGCTCTTTAGACATATCCACAGCCAGCTTTCGCGTCAGATATGCACTAGCTCGGGCGACATCGATCAGAGCTAGGCCCAACTTCTTGTGCCATCTTTTGAAAGAGTGGCCGTCCGCCAGCGAGAAACGAGCACGAATTTGGTCCAGACGGTCGACCCCTTGTATATTGGAATTGTACTCCTTTATGCAAGTTGGCGCTGGGAATGAGCGCTTTTCAGTCCGCACTTGGCGTGTCACCTGTAGTTTGTGTTGAGGCGTCCGCGTTAGAGACCACCGTGACAACAGCACTGTCATACCATGATGCTGCTACCATTGTGCGATCAGCCGAAACACCTTGGCGAGACGTTCCACGGGCACACTCTTTTTTCTCCAACATCACATGTCGAGGAAAGTGAGAGCTTGTTTTCCGTACGGTTCCTCGAGCGTACAAGCCTTTGAGTCGTAGAGCAAGAAGGAGCTGCACCGAAGTATAGTAGTTGTCTGAGTTCACAATTCGTCGGGTGCCGTACAACGCCCGCACTACTTCGAGTACGCACTTCCGAACCGATGACGACTCAGCCATTTCTACGCTCAGTGCCCGTATCTCCTCTGGAGATATCACGCCGTCCAGACGCTCCGCAATATCACTGACACAGTGCAACCGAAAATTCAGCGAAATCCAGGATGTAGCGCAGCATAGCATGTAGATCCGAAAATGATACTTTCCTGTCGGCTTCATAGGATTGTAGACAATGAGCGGTTTGCCAAACTTCGAGCGACATGCAACGCTTGCTTCATCCAGTGCAACATCGCGATCTACTTCCACGTACTTTGACCCAGTCACTTTCAGCAGATTCAACAGCGGGCGGATCCTAGCAGCCTGGTCGGTGTTACCCGTATTTGCTTCAACACACTGAAAGCAGAACGCTTTCCGCAACTCCTTAAAGCGTCTCAGCCCCATAACCTTGTCAAGTCCGACCGAGCTACCACCGAAAATCGAATCCTCCACCTGCTCGCCCCAGTAGTTCGAGTACTCGCCCTTGTTGATCAAAGCCATGTAGAACAAAATACCAAGAAATGTCATCAACTCACTCAGTGAGAATGGCTTGGACAACGGAATATTGTGCAGGCGAGCGTAGGAATTTGTTTCACCAACAACTTGTTGCCAAAATGATAGTGGTATGTAGGCGAAAAAACCTGCCGATGCTGAGTGCTGGAAGATGTGCTTGAACTCGGGTCGCAGCCGTGTCTTGGTGGTCCCATCAGCATGCTGGTAAAGATCGGAGGGTGCCGAGCATTCGTTCCCAGGCTCAAAGCGCATATTTTTGATTGCTTCAATCTCTTCTAGCGTTGTCGGTAGCTCTGGCGGGGGGGGGGGGGGGGGGGGGGTCGAAGGGCTCCATGTACTCTTCAAGCAACTCCATGTCAGCGTCAATGCGCACTTCTTCACCGGCATCGACTTCACAAAGCCGACCCCATCCTGGTCCTGTTGAATTGCCATGTAGGGAGCGATAGTTTGCATTTCCCCGTTGTACAGCGCTGAGATTCAAGGTTTCCACGTGGTTCTGGAACTGCGAGTCCAGCCAGGTTATCTGGAACAACGACTGCTTCAGAATTCGGCACACTCTCCCCACCAGGTACGCGTTCCCCACGCCGGCGTACTTCTTCTTCTGCGTAATGAACCCCTCCTTCACCGGGGAAAACGCCACGAGCGTATCCACATACATCGATAGAATAGACGGGAGACGATTCTGCCTGGGGGGTCGTGAGGCCGTCCTGTTCGGAGAAGGCGTTGCTGCCGTGGCACTCGTCGGATCCGGTGCAGCGAATGGTGCATCGTGTTCCCTCGTGCTGGTCACAGCGGCGGTGTTCGTGCATGCGCGGGGGTAACGTGTCCGTGACCATAGCGTTCTGGGTCAAGGCGGTGTTCAAACAGCGTCTGGTCTTACCGCTTTGGTTGGTCGTGCTGTCGACACGGATACCCCGCTTACGTTTAGGTTGAGCAGCGGCTGCGGTCGCATCCTTCGGCTTGTTCTTGGAACCCTTGGGCCGCCCTCGTTTCCGCCCAAGACCAGCACCTGGGTTCATACCTCCGCCTTGATGCGCTTCTGCACTGCCACTTGCTGGCGCAACCGTAGCCACACCTATAGCGCTGCTCTGCGACTCACCAACACGATGCTGCGACCGTGGGTAGCTTGCGGGACCTTGGACGGGTGCGGGCCTGGCTCGTGGGGCCTCAGAGGCGTCGGTCGGTTGGTTGAAGGTGCTTGACGTGCCAGTTGAGCAGGCGGCAGCAGTAGCATCTTGATGGATGGCTGAATCCGCATGTGCTACGCGGCTACGCTGGCGTGCGGCGGCAGGTTCGTTCGTGTTGAGGATATGTACTGATTCCCACGATAGTCACTATGGTTGAGGCGTGTGCGCGTATTGCAGAGTGGGTTGTTTGTCCTATGATGGCAGTGAGTGTGCCGGAGGTTTTCCCATAGTGGTGGAATTGTCCTAATGAGGTTGTCCACTACAAGACTCTTAGGAGTGCGACTACACTGTAAGGCAGTTACATTAAGTACGAGCAAGAATGCTCAGTCGAAGAAATACACGTGCCTTGCAGGTAGCCGTTGCTGCCTGTCGATCATCACTTCCGTGTTGCTGCTAGTGAGCTTCCAGGCCTGTCCAAAGCTGCAGTTCCCAACAGGTTATGAGCCCAAACATGCTCTAGCTGGAAGCTCACATACGACATGGTGCTGCTGCGTGCAAGATGAAGAAGCAGAGTCGAGGTCTGGGTTGGTGCTTCTTTTCGGAGCGGAGGATGAGGATACGGATGTGGCGGCTGCTCAATGGTGAAGACGCAAGTTAAATTGGTGATAACATCGACCGCAGGACAAGGGCTAATGACAGTGAAGAGTGTCGATGAGAAGACGTGTATACGTGCTGTGGTGAACAATATGATACGCAAGGAAGAGTTCAAGCGTGTGTTCGGATGGTCCAAGCGTTAGCAGATGCGAGTACTACCTTACAAGTGTGGTGGTGTATGCTGTCGACGACGCGAAGAAGCCGATGAGCTGTTGCCATGCTAGACGAAAACACAAACAACATACTCAGCTGAGGCGACGACGAGATGAAGAGCGTGTGGGAGACGCAGATTGTGTACGTGGAGATTGTCGACACTGGCAACAAGGTGAAGCAGACTTCGAGGCTCAAGAGATCGACTGTGGTGGAATGCGTGAGGAATCGAGCGCTGGTGCCCTCGACATTATTCGCGTGGGGCTTCAGACCCAGCGCTGGTGCTCTCGATGGTAAGTGACTGTGGCTTCAATATGGGCGTGAAGGCATTATGCCGGTGAAAAGCGAACGGCATGTGTCAGTGACAGGATGGAAGCTTGCCGACATGAAGCGCAGCGCCTCGGTGATGAAATAAAAGAATACCAGGGATAATATGGATGCAGTATGCAGTTCGGTGTAACTATTGCGGGGCGAGCTGATGGTTTTCCCACGCCCGATAGTTAATGCCGCATTCCGTCGATCCAAACTATTGGTGCATGCAATGGTAGTGGTAACCTTCCGACCAGGTGTTGTTTATTTTTCCGCTAGTAGCTGGAAAACCACCCGCGTAGCACCAACGGCGGAATGACCAGTGGCGGGTGCAGATCATTAAGTAATTTGTGGTTTGCTGCTGATATGGTACTGGAGACAGAAGGCGCAGGACTGAAGTGCGTTTTGTCGTTGGAGGGTGTGAGATTGGTACAGCACGTTGTGGAAGGATCATATCATGCCCGCAATCGTGATCAGTGTGGCGTCATGGCTGTTGTCGTGGAGGATGCAGTGAGCGGAGAGTTGTTGGTGTGCGTGAGGCTATGCTCTCTGGAAAGGGCAAATGCTAAGGTTGGTTGGCTACCCTCTTAAATGAGCGCCTGTGTGGTGACGCTGTGGCCTGCCTTGAAGATGAGATGTCAGACTTAGTCCGTAGCGCTAGCGGCAACTCAGGGTACAATGCAACTGCGATTAGTGTTGCAAAGGATTATGAGTTTGCGAACGCAGAGGCCAGAATGTATTGCGGCGAAGATGAAGGTGATTATGGTGGTCCACCATATCCATTGATGGACGCAGTCAAGTTCAGCGCAGTGACGGTGGACACCAGTGGCTGTTTATGCTGGACGCGTCCGGTCCGCACAGTGACTACCTACCAAGAGCCAAGAGCAGCGAGAGAAGACGTGCTGCGGCTGTAATCCTATTCGCGAAGTAAATACGACGCGAGTGCACTTTGCGCAGATTACATCAAGATGATGAGAGGGCCGTTTACCTCAAAGGAAGTAGATCTCGTGTCTAGCTCGCGATGCGGCTGCGTCGGAATGACGAGTCTTCGCAAGATGAAGGTGTTAAGCGGCGTCGGAAGCTAAGTGGTCCGTTTTGCCGTGGTGATGGCAAGCGTGGTCGTGTGAACACTAGGGACCAAGATGATGGTTGCAGGACCCACCTGCCGTTGCGAGCTCCCAAGTGACAAAGGTGAACTGCAGGAAAGAATCGACAAGTTGATCTGCAAAGGTTGATATGAAGACCACAGCAGATACATGGGCGCCGAACCCTATCCAATTGATGGCTCCACGTAGCGTGACGCTACAGCATTTATTTCGTGAAGCAATGCTAGTTGCTATTGCAAGCGGCTAAAGTAACGTTTCGAAATGTTGTTGGACTGGTGTGGTCGAGGCCAGGAGTGGTTCATGTGGGATCTCATACTGAGCGATTGGTTCGTAAGACCAGTAGAAGCACAGCAAACAGTGGGCGGTGCCCGGCACCGACTGCAAGAACGCCCGGTACAAAAGGAAGAAGGGATTTTGCAGAGCTGGCGTAGTTGACATGGTCGAGCGCTGTCAAGATTTGTGAATACTTGGTCAGGTGGGGCCGAGTCCGGGCCTTCGCTCGCGCGATCAGCGGATGCAGAAGAAATGATGCGCGATCAACGGATGCAGAATAAATGATGTTGTGAAGCGATCAGCTATGGAGCTGTGGATACCGTGACCTGCCAGGTGGGGCAGATACTATGCGAGATGCCAGGTCCGGTGGTGAGAGAGGTCTAGGCCTGGTGGGGCTCTGAACTCGTTCCTGAGAGATGAAGTGACAGGAGTAGCGAAGCAGCGGGCGGCGCGTGGCACCGACTGCAGCCAGCCATCATCATCGCTGCTTGATGGACTGGCGAGGAGTGAATGCCAAATAAGTCTGGCATTGAAATGTGACGATGTCGCGATAAGCTAGCTTGAAGTTGAAGTAAAATGAGCACGCGGCACTTGCAGAGGACAAGATCGACTGCCTCGCTAAGATTGCGATATCAATGCACTTAGTGGCCGATGAGTTCCCGTGAACCAAATATATGCAGATGCTGCGCGTGGTGTCGGTTGCATTGACCAATGCTAGCTACTCGGTGAAAGTGCTGACAACCAGAGAATGCAGTAAGTGGTGTGTGACACCGACTGCAACATGGCCAGTGTGTAAGCCTCACGCGATGAAAGGCGAACTTGACGCAGCAGTGAAGTAGTGAACGGACTCACTCGCGAAGATTCACATCGGGATACGGATATGTGTTAAGGCTGGATATAATTCGCCATGTGCAGAGAGCGTGGGTGACAGCTACATGTAGAGTGCTGATCCACGAGCGAACATTGCCAGCGGACCACCTGAGGGTGAGTTGAACGCGCTGGGCAATATCGTCGTGTGAGACGGCGAGCGTTGGGTACGCAAACAAAAAGAACGGCGGGCGGTGTTTGACACCGACCGTAGTGCGACCACTAACTACAACTGTGGATGGTGCTTGACACCAGCAGTAAGATGTGGGCAGAGAGGCACACATACAGAGAGGACATGTGCGAGGCACTGATCGAGCTGTGGGCGGTGTTTGACACCGGCAGTCTTATTAGCACTGGTGTTGACGAATACCAGTCAGTGGACCACTTCTAAGGCTGTGAGTTGTCAGTGGACCTTGAATGCGAGCGGGCTGAAACGAATGCGCTACGCGAAATCGATGCTCATGAAATATGCACGAATGAGTTGAAAGTATAGCAGTGGGTGGTGCATGGCACCAGCTGCAGAGCGAGAACGCGAGCGACAAATGTTGCAGCAGTGGGTGGTGCAAGACACCAGCTGCACTTTGAGTGAAAGGTTTGATGAGGTCTCCGATGGAGTACCGATTGCCTCGATGAGAGTGCATCCTACGAAATGGTTGAAGGAGCCTTGTATGGTGCCTCGCCGCACCTGCTAGAGAGCTTCTGATGTTGTTTTTAAAGAAAGAATTGTTGATTGAGCTCACGAGGAGCTGAGGCATGTCATGCCCAAGTAAGGGATGTTGGCAATGAGATATGGCTTTTATCCCGAAGGGTTTTACCAGATGACGGAAAATGTGATCGTGTGTGTGAGAGTTGGCGGAAGAAAGATGACGTCGTTCATTCGACCGATTGCAGCAGTGGGCGGTGTTCGAAACCGGGTGTAGTACTGCGGTAACAACTGCGAGAAATGCCAGCCACACAGTGAACTCGTTGATCAGTCGATCGATCACCACTAGCTTCTCGAGCTCCAACGTGAAGTGCTTAACAGCGTTCGTTAGCTGAGTTGCAGAGAAGGCGTAGCGTGGGCATGCAAGCATTTAGTCTACCCGCTGTGATGGAATAGGTGCAGATGAGCTGCCAAGGTGCCCAAAAGTGCTGCAGAAAGTTACCACAGACGTGGATGCTGCAGAAGGCACTGTGTGGTTAGACCTGAAAGATGAATGGCTGATACTTTACTGTGAATGCTATGGAGGTGATACTGGCTGAGAGCCGGAATATGCAAACGCAAGCGGCACAGCAAAACGCTGGTGCAAAGGAAGAAGGTCAGGCAGGACCAAGCGCCAACGTGACAACCAGTAGGTGGGGCTGTTGAGGATATGTACTGATTCCCACGATAGTCACTATGGTTGAGGCGTGTGCGCGTATTGCAGAGTGGGTTGTTTATCCTATGATGGCAGTGAGTGTGCCGGAGGTTTTCCCATAGTGGTGGAATTGTCCTAATGAGGTTGTCCACTACAAGACTCTTAGGAGTGCGACTACACTGTAAGGCAGTTACATTAAGTACGAGCAAGAATGCTCAGTCGAAGAAATACACGTTGCCTTGCAGGTAGCCGTTGCTGCCTGTCGATCATCACTTCCGTGTTGCTGCTAGTGAGCTTCCAGGCCTGTCCAAAGCTGCAGTTCCCAACAGTTCGTGGCGTCCGGCACTTGATCGGTGGACCCCAGGACGCTTTCCGACATTACAGACCCGCTCCTTTCTCGCTGAAACTTGAATTGTGAGGGAACCCGACACGTAGACGGCAGTGCATTGCGTTCTTCGATACCTCATCAAGTTTCACAAGAACTAATATGATTGATTAGCAATTCGTCTGTCAAAAGTGATACAACGGCTTATATGGGATATTAGCTTTGTTCGAAGCTAATTTTGCATAGTGAGCTGAAGTTATATACACATGTACCTTGCAATACTGAAACTAACGCAAATGCTCATTTAGTGAGAGCTTACGGACATTCGTTTTGGCAATGCGACCAAGGCTGCTGAACGCTGGCTTAAAAAAACGTCGGGCCGGGTAATACTGACAAGGCACGTAGATTGTGAAGGCTGCTTGCTTACCGGGCTAGCCAGCGATGCCGAAAAGGTTGTAGCGTCTGTGGAGCGCTCCCCAGTAGGTTGGAGAACTCGAGAGGCTGACGACTTCGCGCCATTATCTACTATAATTCCATTAGATAATGGCGCGAAATCGTCAGGACTCTGACGGGGAGTAGAGGTAAGCGTTCAGCCGACCGCGTGATTGAAGCTCGCGCGTAAGATTCAAAGTGGGACTAAGATATCTTTCAGTGATGGGCATGGGTTACGTGAACATGTTGCTCTTCGCGCAACCAATCACAAATCTGCCTTCGGATTTTGGTTGAAATAGCCTCAGTAATAGCCAATGAAGAAAAGGCAACGAAGCGTCAATTTGCCCCCCTTCACCATCTCTGTTGCACGATGTGGAAGAGCCACCCTTCGGGTCAAGTACCGTTATTTGTGAAAGGGGGCAAAATGTCCCCTTTGAAAGGCAAGTATCCTAGTTTACTATACCATAAAAAATCAAGTGAATATGCCCTGTTCACGAAAGGGTTAAGACCCAATGGTTTGCAATGCCCCTAGCGGACCACATGGTCGCTACGGAGAGGGTCTTAACGGAGCAGTGCTATCAGTCTGAACATTGACACAAATAGGGCTGTTTCGTGCAGTGCCCGAAAGTGCACGAAAGTACTTTCGTGCAAATTCATCAGCCCTTTATTACGGGGATAGCCCATAGAGACAAAAATTGCGTTTCTCTACTAAGTACGATTAAAACTCTTGAAATTACAGGCATAACCCTACCGAAACTGGTGCACGAAACAGCCCTAGACACAAATGTTCACATAGGGCCTATTAACCCCTCAACACCCACACGTTGTAGATACACCAAGAAACATGTTGTACGTACAACATGTTAAAACATGGGCGGAATAGCTGCATAAGTCAGGCCATCCCGCAAAATGCACAGGGCTTGGGTTCGGCGGACCAGATTACAGGGTATAAACGGATATAAACTGTGCGATCGCGTGCTAGAGTAAATACAAAGCGATGCCGTTGCTACGTCGATTCGATTTGGGGTAGAAAGAAACCGCTACTGAATCGACAACGATTCCATTACTTGATATTTATTGCGTGTATTGTGTAAGTTGACTGGTGGTGTATTACTTAATGAGTATCATATGCTTGATTATATGGGTCCGGACCCGAGTCATTATCACACTTGTGACCTAAACGCAATATTTATTTTTGGTATCGAAACCACATTTTCACAAGAGCACCATGGCGAAGAAGAAGAAGGTAGGTATCTCCATCCGCGCTTATGCTGCATGACAGCACGGCGCGAGACACAGACCCCTGTTCGGCAGGAAGCACGCCTTTCACGTCAAAATGATAGTGCACTTCAAATGCTCATGGAAGAGCGAGAGCAAGCCCTTCAGAAGGCTATCGACAGTCGACCAATTAATACAAAACGGAAGTACGAGGGCTACCAAAAGGAGTTTGCAGAGTGGAGCCAATCGATGGGTTTAGCGATGGTGTTACGGTCACTGGTAGCAAGCTTCATCTCTTTTTGGACACCCAAGTCGTCGGCAGAGAGTCGAAGAAGAAGAAGGGTAAAGTCATTGGCGCCTCAACGGTGTACGGCTACGTCAACGCTATTGTAGACCTATACAATCAGCAGGTCGCCAACAAGATGAACGCTAACGATCATCCTCGCACGTATAAGGTGAAGCAACTGTTGTCGACTGTCCAGGCAGAAACTACGTCGACACGAAAGAAAAACTACACAGATCGCGGCGTGGGATCGCTGCTGGACGGCTATCAGTCCGAGGCTCAATTCACTCAGATTTGTGATACTTTTTTCGTTTTGGATGATCTCATGGGGAGGGCTGCGTTTTTGGTATCGCATTTTGGCTTACTACGAGGCGAAAACATTCATGATCTGGAGCTGGCTGATATGTTTTCAAAGGAACTTGACAAGGAGGGTTTTCAGCCGTGCATTGCGTTGGTCCTGCTAATCCAACATGGGAAAACGAATACGTTTGGAAAACTTCAGCATGTCGGCTTCATGCGCAATAAGGCTGTTCATTTATGCCCTGTTGGAGCGGTTGCTTTCTACTTGTTTGAGCGCTTTTATCTCAATAGTGAACCATTTCCCTCCTTTCGGAGATCGGAGGACTGGTATGACATCAAGTTCCTAAGTGGCCGAGATCGAAATAAAGCTATATCCTACAACACTCACAAGAAAAGCTACGAGGCTGTTTTTGATCATCTCGGCCTTACGTTCAATAAAAAGACTCATATCAACCGCCAACAGGGCGTACGACAACTGGAAGGCGCTGATGTCGACATCTCCCAAACTCGCCGACATGGCCGATGGGACCTTGACACCGTGGAAGCAATATAGTCCGCTCCTCTGGCGCGAGAAGCGATTCGTGCTCTGTCAGGACCCCCCACGCGCACGTCTTTATTATTTGGAACGCGCCATTGTGGACCCACCCAATGACCTCAAGCAACAGATTTTCCCTGGGCTTGAAAGTTACAAACAGAAGCTATTAGATGGTGAGTGGGAATGCAACCTCGCCGCTCGAGGGTTCATTGAATTGTTAGAATTCTTACGCACCGTGTTGCTTCAAGACGCTGCATTTTTATTTGACGTCCTTCCTGCTCGACTTCGCCGCCATCCGATCTTCGGTGGATCATTTCAACAATTCCGCGCTCAAGCACTTGCTAGCGCTCAGGCGACGCAGCACCCGGTGGAAATGCAGCTTCAGCTTGCCATGCCAGTTCTGTCGCAACAAATTAGCACGCAGCACGCAGCAACTATGCAGCGGTTAGAATCTCAGCACTTGGCTCTCGTTGACATGGTGAAGCAATCCCAAGATCAGCTTGCTTCATTTCTCCACGGTGACGTCCTTTACCGACTTCTTCCCTTATCTAACAACGCAGTTGGAGCTGATCCAAACCAGCTTCCTCTACGTGACAGCACTCCTGTGTCAACCTCGGTAAACGCAACGCTACAGCAACATTCACCTCAGTTAGAACCAGTCACAGTTCCCCAGTACAACATGAGCCCACGAGTTTCAACCGTACGAGAGCTTTGGACAGAGTGGCACCATGGCCTGGCTAGTCAGCCTTCGATCGAATACCTGGAGGAAACATTTGGCACAAATGGAGAGCGTCATCAAAAGAAGCGAAATTCTTTTCCAGGCGTCGATGTGTCATCAATCACGTACGTAGCTTCGTGAATGGCGGTCTCTCTGTCGACGATGCGATTGAAAGAGCTGATACTGAGAGGGGGAACAAGAGCATCGACAGTTATTCAAAATGGCTTCGCAGCAAACAGCACGATGACTTACATTTGCAGCGTAATGCATTCGACAGTCTCATTGACATCATTATCTGAACTGCAATACCAACATTTACATCATTAAATTAGTTGCCATAACTCGTTTCAGTCCCGATATGAAAGCGCGCTTACCTAACAAGGCCAGTGACTACGGCCTCGATGGGGCTGCGCACTAGCTCCTGAATGATGGTCACGATGGCGATTCAAAGCCCAGGAAGCGCAGGTACGGCCCGTTCGCGTTCTCGTCGTACGTCTCGACGACGGTCGGGGCGGTGGCGTTCGACGTAGCGTAGGGGGAAGCGTTGATGAGCGCGCACATATCGCTGCCTTCAACACGCGTCTTGTAGCTCTTAGTGCGGTCGCTCGACTGGTCGGATATGAAGATGCCAACAGAGCTGCAGTGCTCGATGGCCATACCCAGATCGTGCCGCTGCGCACAGCACGTCTTGAGCAACAGGAAGAAGGGGATCCTCACAAAGGTACCGTCATGCTGACGACGAGGCTCAGCGTCACCCTGTAGGCGTTGTAGTGCTCCAGGACATCGTAGTAGCTGCCCTAGATGTGCATGACCTGCTACTAGAGCCACCACCACAGAGTCACAATTAGCGGCGTCGTGTGTACGACGACCAACAGTACGTACCGACGCGTGCTCGGCGAGCAGGGTGGGCAGACGCGGGCACTCGAGCGCCAAGATGCCCGACGGCACGGGGTACGAGCGACGGGCAATGGCAACCTTGAGATGTGTTAATGGCGCTCGGAGAAGGTTCGCCCCAAATTTGTTATTAATACTGCCAATCAAATCGTAGTATTTGGGTCATGACCCACCAACTGGTATCTCGAGGTAACACGCCAAAAAGCGGCTGTTATCCCCGGATATCAGGTCACTGCGTCATGACCGAGTCATGACTTTTTGCTTTTTACTTGCAACTAACTGTGCACGTTATAGAGGGCCCAAGGAAGTGGTGTAGATAGTGTAGCAAGAACAGTTGTGCCAAGTTGAGCGTGAAGCGTGTTCTAGCGTAGATACCGGCCATCCTCCTGGATACTTTACGAGGTAAAATGATGTTTTGAGAGGGAATTAGAAATAGGATAGTGAATCGACTGGTATTTAGCCTGCAATGGAAACAGATTTGAGGGGATATACAAAGGTCAGGTTGCGCATATGTGTGTGGACCTCTGTAATAAGGTGGTAAATGATGTGGAGGTGATAGTTCAAGGCTACAACGCGCTAGGTTTATGAACGGTTTCACTTGATGCGTCGTCGCTTTAGTGGTGTAGTGCCCAGCGATGAAGCGGGCACGTCGGCGTCGGTGAAAGAAGGCGCCGAGACGAATGCTGATGGATGCGGATGATGAACTCGACGCAGTTGATGAAACGCGACGCGATTGATGGGGGCGACGCGCGGCAGAGGTCGACGGAAAGTCGACGCGGGTGATGGGCCGCGAGACACAGCGACAGAGTCCAACTCGACGCGTAATCATCCGACGAGTCGACCAGCGCCCCGTCTCTGCAAAACGCGTCGACCCTAATCCCCGCCGAGCAAAACCCGCCGAGCAAGACGCGCCGAGTAAGACGCACCGAGCAAAACGCGCCGACCAAAACGCGTCGAGGTAAGATCTTGATTACGCCACGCAAATCAGGTTGAAGGACGGCAGTGCAAGCACGACAGAAGTAGGGATAGACACAGAACGATAGGCTTAGCAAGCAGTAGTACAGAGTAGCCAGTAGCAAGGACATAGGATAGGGTAAGGACTCAGTCCAAAATTTCTCTGAACCACAAAGACCTCCGGATCTCCTCGGTTCCAGGGGAACCACCAAGCGCCAGCAAGTAGAGCCGCCTCGATGTCGCGGCCCCCCGTCGTTTGCTGGTTCGGGTGCTCACCCCCTCAACCCCGTGCTGGAACAAAGGCACGTTAAACGTACACCGTTTAGGTGGGCGCCCGATAACGCGCTACCTAGGCGAAGGACCGCGCTGGCCTGATAACCGCCGTGCACAAGACCCCCCCCCGTGTAGGCCCGATAACGCCACACAAGCCCCAGGAAACGCCGGCCTGATAGCGCCGCACGCCCGACGGGAACGCCGAGGAAACGCTGGCCCGATAACGCCGCACGCCCAAGGCTCGACGCCCTACGACAAGGAACAAGCGTCAACACAAGAACCCCCCAACTCTGAAGCCTGCGAAGACTTGGGCCCTATATTCGAAGATACGCTACTCCAACAACCGGGAATAATTTGCTCGGCGCGACCGCTATCCAGACGCGCCGAGTTTGTGCGAGATCGCATTCGCGAGATTTCTGCGAGGGCGCTACTCCACAATGGTGCCGCGACCCGGGAGTACTACTTCGAATGACGGGCTAACGATCCAAGAGGCATCGGAGGCAGGTGCGCGGTCGGCTGGAAGGTCGCCGACTGCAGGAGAGCACAGTGAGAGACCTGTCGCGTCGTGGAGCTCTGAGGGAACTTTCACGACAGGCCACGGGGCCAGCGACGACCAGGAGGGCTACGAAGAACAGTTTGCCGTTCCCTATCTGGCTCCCGACGAGGGAGCGGCGAAGGGCCGCGACGTAAGTCGCGGTCCTACTGGTCGGAAGCCTGCAAAGGCCGACGACCAACAACAACCCACCGCCAAGGCCGCCGCCAAGCGCAAGTCGCCCAAGAGGAGGAAGAAGAAGAATCTGCGCGCGTCGGACTCGGCGGAAGCGTCGCTGTCCAAGCCGCAAGGCAAGGACGCGGGGCGCCAGTACACCGTCGAAGAGGTGCGGTACGTCGTGGCGCGCACTGAGCTCTTCCGGCTGCTGGAGCAAGACCCGATCTTGGTCTTCCTCAAGCCCATGCTGATGAGCAACTTCACGGGCCCCTTCGTCGCGCCGGACTTCGATAGTCTCACCAGCGTCGCCCACGCCGCGCCGATTCTCTTCCAGATGCTGCGTGATTCGGGATTCGTGCTGGGATCTTTCGAGATGGAGAAGCTGTGCGACTGGGACCTCAAGTCCTGGTTGCGCGCGATTCGCGTCGTGCAGGAGCCATTGACGATTCTCGCCGGATCCGTCAAACAAGACGCGACGAGTTTCTCAGCGGGCCAAGACGCGCCGAGTTCCTCGACGGGCTCAGCCCAGACCTCGACGACCACGCCCTCGCCGCCACCTCGATACCAATCGAGTGTGGACTTCAATAGCAGCTTCGAGTCGCGCAAGCGCAAGTCTCCGGAGAAGCTCTGCGCGCCGGATTCAGCGGATGGACCGCCGGTCAAGGCGAGAGGCGATGACACGGGGAATCAGTTCACCGCGGCAGAGATGAGGTATATGCTTGCTGGAGTGGAGCTGATCCGGCTGCTGGAGCACGATCCGATCCTGCGTTTCATCAAGCCCAACGCGATCAAGTTCACGGGTCCTTTCCGGGTGCCGGACTTTGACATGCTCACGAGCGTCACGCGAGCCGCAGGGACACTCTTCGCGATGTTGCACGAATCAGGCTTCGGCTTGGGCATCACCGAGAGGACGGGGGTGTATGACTGGGACATCGAGTCGTGGACACGTACGATCCGCGGCGTCTTGGGACAGTTGACGGTCCTGGTCGGATCCATCCAACGCAAGGTGACTCCGCCTGGGACGGGCCCAATCTCAACGCAGATGATAACTTCGTCCCAGGCTGAGTCGAGCGTGCATTCCACGTCGAGGTCCAAACCCCGACGCGACGTAGATGACGAACCCGCCGACTTGTTTGACGTGGACTTCGGGATGCCGAAAACCACGGCCGCGACCTCAACCACGACTTCACCGGAACTGGACGAGGTTTTCAACCATCTGAGCGAGCCGCCGCGCGCTACGTCGTGAGGTCACGCCAGCGCGTATCAAGGTTCTGCCGGATCTGAAGGAAGCAATTCCTAAGGCGCTGGAAGAGGCGAGTACGCGCTCTACGATAACTCAGGCGTCGAATACCCATGTCTCTGCGGTTCATGTCGAGCCAAGAAACTCGACGCGAAAAAACTCGACGCGTAAAAACCCGACGCAGAAAATGTCGACGCGGGACGCGTCGAAGGAGATGCGCCTGCAAGGACTTGGTAATCACGCCGTGATGTCCGTCGCAGTGCCGGTTGCGACGACATCCAGGCGACCGTTGGGCACGGCGCGGGCCTCTACGACTCCCGAGCAATCGCGTTACGACGCACGAGTGCGGCCGGTCTCACTCGACGCGCTTAAGCAACTCGACCCAGGACAAACACTCGACGTCCGCCTGCGCACCAGCCGAGATGCACCGCGCCTGTGGGTCACGCGCAGCAAAACGTGGGTTACAACCATGTTTAAGACTAAGATAGAGCGACAAACATACCTGCGGGTGACCAACGTCACGGACGAGACAATAACGCTCGACGCAGGCACGAACGTGGGTTGGCGGACACCCTCCGATGTGTTTCCGCCTGCGCCCCGCTTCGTGCTGGCGACTAATCGACAGTACCAAGATTGCCAAAACCTTGCGTATGAAGTGACCTGCGACGAGGACGAGACCTGGCGTGACGACGAGCTCGTCTGGCCCATGTATGGATGGCCGACGTACGAAGATCCGGAATTCGACGCGCGTCGAGGTGAGCTAGAGGAAGAAGTTCACGCGGATAGCAAGCCCACATCGTACCCAGTAGTCGCTGTGAAATCACCAACAGCGGGGCTGACCTGTGCGCCAGCGGTGGAGACGTCGTCGGTGAGCAAGTTGCAGACGCGTGGCCACTCGACGCTGTCGCGCGTGGTGTTGAAGACACGGGTCGACGTAGTAACGACGTGTGTACGGTCGGACCACGGGTCGCAGAGAAGCGACAATGCGGGGCGCCCAGCTGAAGCGTCGCGAGTCGAACAACCCGTCGAAGGTGCGTCGGGCGACGAAGCGCGAGGCGCGCCGTCCAGCGGAAGGTCGCAACAAGGCGACGGGGTGCGACAGTCGAGTGAACGCGCGCAAGTTGCAAAATCCAACAGGGACAAGTGCGACAGTGTGAGATGTGAGGGATGGAACGTCTCGGAACCATCCCAGAAGCAGTCCCAGAAGTGCGACACCGTGAGACGGACCGAATGTGACACCGTGCGACAGTTGGGCGAAGGGTCGCCCATGAGACGGACGGAATGTGACACCGTGCGACAGTTGGGCGAAGGGTCGCCCATGAGACGGACGGAATGTGACACCGTGCGACAGTCGAGCGAAGGGTCGAGGGGACGCGACGACGTGAGACTGACCGAATGTGACACTATGCGACGGTCAGTAGCGAGGTCTCAGACCTGCGACGGTATGCGACTTGGGGACAAAGCTGGAAAATGGCGTCTTTGGCGACATTCCGCCCTCGAGCCCGTGAAGAACAAGCCGAATGTGAACTTCGACGTGGTCGACGAGGGGCCTGACGGTGGCGGGACTGGAGGACCACCGGGGTCTGCACCAAAAGAGAGGCACCGCGCCATAAACCTGGATCGATTGGTCAACCCTGAGCAAGATGCTGGTCCGAATTGCGCGATCTATCGAAGTGGCGGGTACGCCGCGGCGGGGCGAGTGGTGCGATTTCCTGTGGACAAGCCCGAATGCCACGGCGCGCCACCTGGAGGATTGCTGGCGAAGGTACCAGCTGTCACTCGACGGATGTCCAGTAAACTCAATAAGTCTGCGGCCCTGAAGATGGCGGGCAAGGCGGGCGACGAGCCACGCAGCCTGCAGCTACACCGACTTCGAACCTGTGACGCACTACACGTACAACCGCGTTACGGCGTACGTCGAGGCAGGAACACGGGGCCCGACGCACTTGTTGGATGCGTACGACGAGATCAAGAAGACAGCGCGACGAATAACTCGTCGCAGATCCGGTGCGCGGAGACGATGCACCGCCGAGAGGTCACTGGGATCCTGGGGAACGCGGTCAACGCTCCGCGGCGGCCGGTTGCACTGGCGCGATGCACAGGGCGAAGGACGGTGCCGACTCGGCGAAGACTCAGGTGGGGGTCATCCAGCCTACTACAGCGCAGAACGCGTCGAGCCCGAGCGCGACGAGGGTGCCAGACCCACGTTGCACGACGGGCAGTCGCGCTGACGCGAGACGCGGGACGAGCGACGGTGACGCCAGCGCAGCAGGGGCAGGGGTGTTTGTCATACAGCCGGCGGGTCACTCGCGAGAAGACATCCGACCCCGGACGTTAGATCTAGAAACAGCGTCACCTGTCAACCTCGTCGCGGAAGATTGCGACGCGAAAAAACTCGACGTGGAAAATCTCGACGCGGAACGCGACGCGAAAAATCGCGACGAGGGAAACTGCGACGAGGGAAACTGCGACGAGGGAAACTGCGACGAGGCCAACCCTGTCGTCAACGTGCCGGAACGAGACCGGCCGACGCCGAAGAACCTGGATTTGGGGCGCGGGACGGCATACGTCCTCGTGGTGACGATGCACTCGGCTTCTACACGCGCGACGAACCCCAGAGGCAGAGCTCCAGGTGTCCTACAAGAGCTGGCTGCTCAGAACCCGTCGAGCCTGGTCAAGACCCCTCCCAGAGCGGCTAAAGGCGCAGAGAGTCATGGCCCTGGGCATTTTACGGGGCGCGGTGCGCTGGATGAAGACGCGTCTTGCGTCGGATCTGGTTGTGCATTCAAGTTTTTGGGTGGCGTGTGGGTCGCAACGAGAAACACGTCACGCGACGGTGCCCAGTCAAAGCGCCTAGGGCTATGCGTTCGACAGCACCGCCGACTCGCGCAGGTGAACGCGCTAGAAGTCGACCAAGGTGTACACGTCGCAGATCGGACTCGGGGCGGAGTCGCGACGACGGACACGGTTGAAGTCAATTTGCCAATACGGTATTGCTTGGATTGCGACAGCCCCGGTCTCCCCCACGAGCTTAAGCGCATGTCCGACGCACTGGCAGGATGCGAGCTACAACGTCATGAGTGCAACGCGACGGGAAACTCGTCGCAGACCCGGTGCGCAGAGATGCTACACCACCGAGAGGAGATCGTCAGGAAACCAGATGCCACGAAACACGGTCAATGTCGTGCGACGGACAGTCACGCTGAAGCGAGACGCGGGGCGATGGGAAGTGCCCCCGACGCGGCGAGAGCGCAGGGGTGTGGCATCCAGCCCGGTGCAGCGCGGAACGCGTCGAGACTGAGCGCGACGAGGATGTCAGAAGTTCTAAATCGCGCGACGGATAGTCACGCGAAAGTGAGACGCGGGGCGATGGATAGTGGCCTCGACGCGGCTAGGACGCAGGCGGCCGGCAACGAGCCTGCTGCAACGAGGAACGCGTCGAGCCCGATCAGGAGGCCTGTAGCAGTGTCGAAATACGTGGAGGGTCCAACTTCAGTACAGCCCTCAGAGTGCGACGACGCGATAAACAGAAACCCACCTTGCGTCGAGGCAGATTGGGAATTCGAGGTTGCGAGGAGGGTGTCGGACGCCGCGAGTGACTCGTCGCGCGACGGAACAGAGTCGACGCGCCGAGGGATATGCATCCTTCAGAACTGCCGACTCGCGTAGGTGAACGTGCTAGTAGTCGGCCAAGCCGGGGACGACGCAGATCGGACCCGGGGCGACGTCGCGGCGATGGACAGGACTGGAGTGAATTCGTTGATGTCATATTGCTGGGATCGCGGCAGAATGGGATCTGCCTACGGGCTAGAGCTCATGCTCGACGCTGTGCCGCGAGACGCCCCGTGTGTGAGCACGTACGCTGTACGTCTTGAGACGGGCTGCACGCCTTGTCAATTTTCGGTCAAGGACGTTTCCAAGTTGAGGCCTGTGCGCGCTATGATCAATGGGACGACCCCGTCGAAGGGGCCGGCGACTGCCGCGACGAGATGCCGCTAGAAGTGAGCCGGGACACTAGCACTGTAAAGAGCGACGGCGTTGCGTACTCGAAGGTCAGGGACAAGCACGCCGAGACGGTTCGCGTCGTGGTAGACTTGGCGCTCTCCTTCGGTTCGCGCGCGACCGAGATCCGCGGTGTACGTCAAGGGCGATAATCGCCGTCGGAAAACTACCGCACCAGTGCGCCGAGCCCAAGCGACGGACGCTACAGATCGGACCGCGTGCGCAGATGCGGCGCGTCAGGTTGTGCACCAAAGCGCAAGGCAGGCCGAACGAATCGCGTCGCGAGACGAGTAACTCGCTTTACCAACTGTCTTTCGACTTCCGCACCTCCAAGCAAAACCCCGTTGAAGAGTTTCCGTCACACGCCGCGACGTGTTTGGCGATGTCAACGAACGGACCGTTTGACTCCACCGATACGTGTTTACTGGAGCACAGCCTGACACTCGCTCTGGACGAGGATGCTTCCGAAGGGGAGAAGTCCTTGGAGCTGCATGCCGGTCGGGCTTCCCGACATGGCTGCGCGCGCCGCGAGTCCGACGTGACCTGGAGAGGCTGTACCGACGAACTGGATCTCAACTGCGGAAAGTGGCGGTGCGACTTCTCGCGACAGCACGCTGGTCGTTACCGTCTTGCGGCGATTTCGCGCGAGGACGTGGGGCGGCTGAGCCGAGCCCTGGTGGGTGAGCGCCTTTAGTGGCGCGGTGGAAGTTGGCAGGGTGGCTGCCGACAGGTGGATAGGCGGAGAGCCTCGACTCTGGGAATGGCTGGAGCGAGGGGTTGGATGAGGAAAGTGTGGAGGACCAGCCTGTTGCTGATGATGAGATGGCGGAGGGCCGTCTCATAAAAGATGTGAAGAAGTGGAAAGAAACGAAGGAAAAGAGCAAGGCCTACGTGTCGGAGTTACGGCTGCAGCGACTACGAGCAACGACAACGTGTGGCACTAGGGCCCCTCAATGGGGTCCATGTCAGTGAACGCGACGAGGTACGTCGCCACTTGGTCTGAGGGCGGCGCGCTTGGGCGTCGTTGTCCGAGGCCTCGGACTGGAACTGCGTTGTGACCTGGCGCGTTCGATCGACAGCAGCAGCCGAGACGAAGGCGAAGACGATGGAGTCGAGACCGAACTGGGAGGCCTGCACCCGTGACGCGTTGATTCCTCGGCTCCGCTGTACCGCGGTCGACGGACACCCGCTGAAGCTGGCGGCGGAGTAGACGCCGGACCTGGACGGTGCGTCGGAGCCCGATGAGTATCCGCGGTTAACGAGGTCTTAGCCTCAGGACCGGAAACGGGAGCGGCAGAACGCACGCTGACACCCGTACTCGACGTAGTGGAGGCGAGACAGGAGCAGCGGGAGCCGCCGCTCGGCTTGACTCCGCAGGCCACAGCGTTTATCTCCACCGCGACAGAAGCTTCACGTCGACGGATCAGGTCGTAGGTGTCAATGTGCCCGCCTACGGACGTGACGACACCGGCAAGACGTTCTGGAATTCCATCGCGCACGTGCTACGCCATCTACCAACCTCGACGCGCTTCCCGAAGCACCCGTCCTCAAACCGCGTCATGCTCGTCGCGGTCCTCGATGGCCACGTCGTGCTCGTCCTCCAGCTCGATTACGTGTGCGCTGGAACGGTGGACTTGAGCGCTCGCGGCATCTCGCCGCTAACCCCCGCACGCGACGTATTCCCAGCTGCGCGAGACGTGGCCTGAAATTCGCCGATTCCTCCAAGTCGCGGATACGCGTCGCGCCCTGCCGGAGTTGTTTGGCGTGGGTCACAAGGAACGCGTTATTGCGCCGAAGGTCTACTAACAGCGGCTCGTTGAACGCTGCGCCGACTCGGCTTCCGCACGGCTCTGCGTGGGCGCATTACGGATAAGGGTGAGATGACCAACAAGGGTAGTGCGTCGCCGTCCGAGCGCGACGGACCTGGTCTCTCTCGGTGACGGCGGTGTTGCACTCCTTTTTGGAGAGCCGAAGCTTGACGCACTTGGTCCCTCGCGATGCTGGAAGCGTCGTGCGCTTGCTCGACGACCGCCAGGGCTTGATGCGCGCGGTCTCGCTCGGCAAAAGCTACGCCGCGTTGCTGCTCTGCAGCTGCGAAGGATTGCTGTGCTTGATCGCATTCCGCCACGGTAGCGCCGAGTCGCGATTGGACCGGGGAGAGGCAGCTTGGGCTACCGCGAGCTGATCGGACGGATCAGGGAGGCGAGACCGATGTGCACTGCTTGCATAGACGACGATGTCAGCGCAGCCTCGAGGTTGCCCGTGTCGGGCCCGCTCTCCTCGACGCAGAAGTCCTCAGCGCGAACCATGATGCTTGAATGGCAACGAAGCGGACGGAGACGACAAAGAATTCGACGAATCGAGATGCGGCCAACACGCGGGGCAGGTTCTGCAACGACACACCCACCTGGGGAGTGCGCGTGCGTGGCAGCGGGACGGATGTGGTGTAGTACCCAGCGAGGAAGCGGGCACGTCGGCGTCGGTGAAAGAAGGCGCCGAGACGAATGCTGATGGATGCGGATGATGAACTCGACGCAGTTGATGAAACGCGACGCGATTGATGGGGGCGACGCGCGGCAGAGGTCGACGGAAAGTCGACGCGGGTGATGGGCCGCGAGACACAGCGACAGAGTCCAACTCGACGCGTAATCATCTGACGAGTCGACCAGCGCCCCGTCTCTGCAAAACGCGTCGACCCTAATCCCCGCCGAGCAAAACCCGCCGAGCAAGACGCGCCGAGTAAGACGCGCCGAGCAAAACGCGCCGACCAAAACGCGTCGAGGTAAGATCTTGATTACGCCACGCAAATCAGGTTGAAGGACGGCAGTGCAAGCACGACAGAAGTAAGGATAGGCCCAGAACGGTAGGCTTAGCAAGCAGTAGTACAGAGTAGCCAGTAGCAAGGACATAGGATAGGGTAAGGACTCAGTCCAAAATTTCTCTGAACCACAAAGACCTCCGGATCTCCTCGGTTCCAGGGGAACCACCAAGCGCCAGCAAGTAGAGCCGCCTCGATATCGCGGCCCCCCGTCGCCTGCTGGTTCGGGTGCTCACCCCCTCAACCCCGTGCTGGAACAAAGGCACGTTAAACGTATACCGTTTAGGTGGGCGCCCGATAACGCGCTGCCTAGGCGAAGGACCGCGCTGGCCTGATAACCGCCGTGCACAAGACCCCCCCCCCGTGTAGGCCCGATAACGCCACACAAGCCCCAGGAAACGCCGGCCTGATAGCGCCGCACGCCCGACGGGAACGCCGAGGAAACGCTGGCCCGATAACGCCGCACGCCCAAGGCTCGACGCCCTACGACAAGGAACAAGCGTCAACACAAGAACCCCCCAACTCTGAAGCCTGCGAAGACTTGGGCCCTATATTCGAAGATACGCTACTCCAACAACCGGGAATAATTTGCTCGGCGCGACCGCTATCCAGACGCGCCGAGTTTGTGCGAGATCGCACTCGCGAGATTTCTGCGAGGGCGCTACTCCACACTTTCGTGCAAGATGCCGTGCAAGTCACCCTGCTTTGCACTCCCTTAGAGGTCCTTGCCCAGTCTCTTAATAAAAAAGCCACTGACTTCTCATCAAAAGTCCTTATCACGGTGTATCTACACCATGTACATGCTGTTTGTACAACATGATAAACGATTTGACGAAATGGTCATGTCGTCGTTGTACACAGTCGGTACTCGAACTTATACGAGACTATAGTAAAACTAAGTGTTGCGCGGCTTTAACATGCTGTACGACTATCATGTTGGGCGAGAGTACCGTGAAATAAAAAGCAGGTAAAAAACAGCTTGGGCGCTGGGGGGTTAACCCCTTGAATGCGAGAGCCTGGACCGTACATGTTACCAGAAAATCCTTAACGTGTACAGTTCACATTAAGGATTTTTGACTTAAAATTTGTATCGAAGTATACCAGCTTGAAGTCAATGAGGGGCAGGCGATGTATCCTTTCCTTCCCGCGTCATGAACAAAGAAACTTCAGCAGAACAAAGACAATCAATATAAACAAAGCAGGTCTGGGCGCGTGCCAACAGATAATATATTCGATGCTAGAGGCCAATGAACGCCGCCATTCAATCTCTCTCACTTTCAGACTTTCCAGCTTCCAGACAGATCTCCGCCACTTACATCGAGCCGACCTCACCGCGTTGTGGATTGGTAATCGGTAGGCAAGATTCACCGACCGCTTCCGCCTTATCTAGCTCATGTAACTAGCCTTTTCGCCCCCCCCCCTTTTGCGCAGTCCGATATCTGCTGAACGACCAAGATGACTCTCGATGCGTTTACGACAACCAGGCTAGCGGGTTCAGCGCATTTCCGTGAGCTAAAGCGCAATGTAAGGCATGTTGGAGCTATCTGGGCTACGTTTTGACATTCTCTAACCATGTGTGCTTTTCGTGTGATATGTTTAGCCGCGTAGCATTCAAGGCGTGACTCCCACTGCCGCGGGCTCATTTAACCGGTATGTACACGTTAGAGTTCCTAAATATCACGTATCTATAGCTAATAGTGTATGCGATCGCGCCGTTTCAGTTTGATTCCACACGCACTGGACAAACAGGGCGACGTACGTACGACCGGTAGGACCGCGACTTGCGTCGCGGCCCCTCGCGGCTCCCGACGAGGGAGCCGCATCGAGAACGGCAAACTGTTCTTCATAGCCCTCCTGGTCGTCGCTGGCCCCGTGGCCTGTCGTGAAGGTTCCCTCAGAGCTCCACGACGCGACAGGTCTCTCACTGTGCTCTCCTGCAGTCGGCGACCTTCCAGCCGACCGCGCACCTGCCTCCGATGCCTCTTGGATCGTTAGCCCGTCATTCGAAGTAGTACTCCCGGGTCGCGGCACCATTGTGGAGTAGCGCCCTCGCAGAAATCTCGCGAATGCGATCTCGCACAAACTCGGCGCGTCTGGATAGCGGTCGCGCCGAGCAAATTATTCCCGGTTGTTGGAGTAGCGTATCTTCGAATATAGGGCCCAAGTCTTCGCAGGCTTCAGAGTTGGGGGGTTCTTGTGTTGACGCTTGTTCCTTGTCGTAGGGCGTCGAGCCTTGGGCGTGCGGCGTTATCGGGCCAGCGTTTCCTCGGCGTTCCCGTCGGGCGTGCGGCGCTATCAGGCCGGCGTTTCCTGGGGCTTGTGTGGCGTTATCGGGCCTACACGGGGGGTCTTGTGCACGGCGGTTATCAGGCCAGCGCGGTCCTTCGCCTAGGCAGCGCGTTATCGGGCGCCCACCTAAACGGTGTACGTTTAACGTGCCTTTGTTCCAGCACGGGGTTGAGGGGGTGAGCACCCGAACCAGCAAACGACGGGGGGCCGCGACATCGAGGCGGCTCTACTTGCTGGCGCTTGGTGGTTCCCCTGGAACCGAGGAGATCCGGAGGTCTTTGTGGTTCAGAGAAATTTTGGACTGAGTCCTTACCCTATCCTATGTCCTTGCTACTGGCTACTCTGTACTACTGCTTGCTAAGCCTACCGTTCTGGGCCTATCCTTACTTCTGTCGTGCTTGCATTACCGTGCTTCAACCTGATTTACGTGGCGTAATCAAGATCTTACCTCGACGCGTTTTGGTCGGCGCGTTTTGCTCGGTGCGTCTTACTCGGCGCGTCTTACATCGGCGCGTTTTGGTCGGCGGGGTTTAGGGTCGGCGCGTTTTGCAGAACCGGGCGCGCTGGTCGACCCGTCGGATGATTACGCGTCGCACTGGATTCTGGCACCGTGTCTCACGGCCCATCACCCACGCCGACTTTCCCGTCGAGCTCGGCCCTGCGTCGCGCCCATCAATCCGCGCCGCGCCGCGTTCCATCAGCCGCGTCGAGGTCCATCACTCGCGTCCCGGCGCCTTCTTCCTGCGGCGCCCGGAGCGCCCACTTCTTCCGCGGGGTACTACACCACAATCGGGGCGACCAAGCGCACCTGCACTCCCTTTAGGCGCGCGGGTGCTCCCTCACTTTCACATCGTTGAATAGGCCCTCGTTTACATAGGCACCACGAGGCGTAGCAGTGCTAGCACTATTGGTAGGCTCGTGTCGTGGCTGAACTCTACAAGCGACATGGGATTTGGCATCACTGCGATTGTATGTAAAGTAGCCGCGAGACGGCCAGGAGCGAGGGTGGGAGCGGTATGAAACGCTTTTTAGCTGTTGTATGATGGGGCAGCTCCTCGCTAGGGGACATGTAATAATGTTTTGAGCGCTTATATATATTAATTCATTTTTCGTTGATATGCACGACATCATACATGCCAGCGAATTTGGGACATGCAATAACATTTGACACAATGATGCAATAACATAGAACATCAATTTATATTAATTGAGAATAAGTTGAAATAATATAAAAAAACTAACTGCGGGGTGGAGTGACGTGCTTCAGCGCGAACTCGAGGCGCTGCGTTTTGTGCTGCGGCGTTGGCCACAGTTTCAAACATGAGAAGCGCAGGCGCAATATGTCTATCTTGAGGTAGCGCTCGAGAGTGGTGCGAGGAACACCAACCGCAGCGGCCAGGCTCTGCTGAGTCTGCCGCAGCGGCAGCGGAACCGCCTCCAATGTCCGGGTGGAGCACACCGCGAGGCCGGTGGTGCAAGGGCTCGAGCAACACCCCAGGGGTGCCGCGCTGGTTCCAGATGCGCGTGCCTGTGTCTCAGTGACACGAGGACTCGCATGACTCGGCCATTTTATGCGTCGAGAGGGAGCCTCTCATTTAGGTCCTTGCCGGCGAGGTAGAACCTGGTCGCGAGCTTCTTCTCCGCGGTGAGGTTCGGCTGCTGGAGGTGGCGTCCCATCTTGATGGTCTTGATGGCGTGTGATGGGCTGTTGTCGGGGGGGGGGGGGGCTTTAACCACTCAATTTGTCGCGCCAAAGCCAATCTAATCCAATACTAATATTGACCAAGTAAATTTTAGTGATGTTAAATAAAAACCTAATGTTGTTTCTTAGCTGGGCCAGAGGCGTAGCGTCTTGCTCTTCCCACTCGCTGGCGCGTTGTTCGTCTCGTTCGATATTTATTTTTAGAATTTCGTTTTGAGGTCCTTAATATAAAACTAATTCGGATTGGGGTCCGCTCAAATCAGTAGGCGTATTTGTTTGTGTAAAAACGGAAATATACCGTGTTTTGACAAAACAAATCTATGGGGATCTGTGTACTTATGCCTACGAAGCGTACCATTCGTACCTTGTGATCTCACCGTACACAGTTCCTTGCCGTCGGCTGTGCCCGTATGTATCGTATGACTACTACGTACGAATGTGCCATCCAGAATCGGATTTAGCTGAGACGCCTAATCTCACTTGCCAAACACTTTTGTTTCTAACGCTGCTGGTCGCTGACAGCCGTCCGCGTGTCGATAGGGCGCTTGGTGATCTGGGATGTGGACGCCACAGGAGTCGCAGCATCCCCTTCCTCTGGAGACGTATCCGCCACCCCCACCTCTTCAGTCTCCGACTCTTCCGACTCAGCATCATCGTCTTCAGTTCTTCTTGGGTGAGGATCTTCACCCCTCGACTTCAATGAGTCTTGCATACTTTCTTCTAGTCGGGCTGTAGGGCGCGGGATCAACCTTATCAGCTCCTCCAGCACCTGGTGACAAGCCGTAATAATGCAGAGCTGGGCAACGATATACGTATTACCCGTATATTGGCTGCCATGAGCCCCTGATCATCGATAACACGCTCGTACAGGCCACGGTGCTCAGCCGATATGCTTCACTGCAAAGTGCGCTGAGAATTTCCCGGTCTTCATTAGCCTGTTACGATTCGTAGCGGGGAGACGACGCCTGAACTCTTCCCTATATCACCTTGCGTTGATTTGAGGGGCAGCTTGGTTTGGTTGGGCTGCACGATTGATGCACGCTGTATCCAGTTTAAACCATGTGTCTGCTTATTATTAAAAAAAACTATTAGTATATTTCATTAAGATGCGCGGTCCCTAACAACCTGTATTTTTATATGTATCTTGCGCACAATGTGCGATTCGGGTACAGGTACGACATTGCTCATACGATATAGCATGTATTGAACATGTTTCTATTCCTATTACTACTTTGACTTGGAGACGGCTTACGATTCAATAGCGGGGTGTTATCTCAGTTTAGAATCTCCCCTTTGCAGATTCTATGGAGAGGCGATGGAAGAACTAGATTCAGGGACGCAAATCCTTGTCCAAACAAAACTTTAAAGTCGCTGTTGCTGCCGGCTGCACCTCTGTACGTACCCGTTTTAACATGACACCAAAACGTCTTACTTTCAGTATGATAAAACTTCCCTCACATACAAGTTAATTCATCCGATGGGGGCGCTGAAACCCTTCGCGTTCAAGGGCTTAAAACATTATCAAAGGTTCAACATCGAAGGCTATAAAGCAGAGCTGCAAAGGTGCAGGAAGTGCAGAGGCTGCTCAATGTTCAAAACGCTTGGTGTTATCTCTTCGTGCCCCGCTGAATAGGGCTGGTTTGACCATACAAAATTCTATACTAAACTTGCGTCCTTACCGATGTGGCAAATCATGTTGCAGAAACTGATCAAACGTGAGAGATTACCACCCCGTCTTTATCGAACTCAGCTATAATCAATGCAAATGGATTAGATATCAACCGTCCATCACCCCTTTTCGTGTCACACTGAAAAGTGGACTTTATCATAAAGCCATTACCACTTGTTTTATGTATTGAAGTCTGTGCTTATGATTTTTTCCCGTTCTTTTTGTGCTGGATTCGTCTTCTTCTCCGCATTTCGATGGTATTTTCAGTTTTTTGTAATTCCACCTGGATGTTGAGTTAGCCACCGATAACGCAAATAGGGGCACGAAGAGATAGTTTCTTTTATTTCTAACTCGAACGAGTTTTTGTCTCCAAAACGCGTTTAAAGCTACACATGTAAACATACATGCACTTGACGTTGCCGCTCGTGAGGCCGTCTCACAGCAATGTGTTTCCTAACGAGCCCGTTCTCAAGAGCTATCAGAAATGCGCTCGACGGACTTCACTTGCAATTATAGCGAATATTTATTAATAGGACTGCATAGGTCTAATAAACTACCGGATTGGGTTGCGTTTTGAAATTCCGTAGTAAAAGGCCAAAAATTGCGGGCTGTTACAGCATTGCGTGTTAATCGCGATGGGAGATATTTAATCGGGTTACAATGGACACCGTTCGCTTTGCTTGTCCCCCATCCTCGTATTTTGCCCAACTCTATTGCGTGGGTGGGGTGCTTACTCCAGGGGCACAGTTATTAATAGGAAAGCCATTTTAAAACTCCATCATCGTGTGAATTGGATAATGATGAATGAACACCACGACGAATCAGTGATTAGCACATCAGTACTGTAATATTCACAACGACACACAGCAGCAGCACACTTAAATAACATGCTGCAAAACGAGTAACTGACGTGAGCACAACGACCAATCAGGGTACAGACCAAAACCTAGCGAATCATCCATACGAATGAAAATAGTCAGTTCATCACATACATAATTTCCGGGTAGACCTTCCGATCTAGATACCAGGCATCAAGTAGCGGACGACGTCCTGATCAGCCGCCACACTTCCAATGAAGCCCCATACCGCGCAAGTTGACCTGCCCCCCCCCCTCTGACCCACCAAGAATGTCCCGAGTGGAAGCGACACAAGTGCTAATATTGCTGCGGCCATCCACGCTCGCGTTTTTAGCGGAAGCGAGGGCAGGCTCTCGTTTTGCAGTATTGCGCTGGGTGTATAGCAAGGTGATTGGACAGCCGCTTACGGTAGCGCACCTCAAGGTTGACGCCGGTAGCAGTATAATGCAATTAGCAGTGTGTTTGGTGGGGACTGTAACTACGTGCACCTCATGCGCTATTACCACCGTGAGCGTATGAAGGGGCTACTGAAGGAGCTGAGCGAAGACGTTCTTCGTGACGTCTACGACATGCAATCCAACCGTTACGTGGAGAATAGTCCGGTATACTTAATTGCCCAAGACATTCGCTGCATACTTCAAGTGAGAGTGATTTAACTAGCGCGTTTGCCCCTACCAGTACCACCAGTCTCCTCATGACGCTGCGACGGCCAACAAGCGAGTTGGGCAGTTCAATCAGGCGTTGAAGCAAGACTACACTAGCCACCGGCCATTCAAAATGTCTGGGCTCAGAACACAACTCGCTGTGTGCTGTCACGAACATGGCATCGACCTGCCTCCGCTTGTCACAAAAAGCCGCCGTCGAAGAAGATCTTGGCACGGGTGAGAGTGCTCAGATCGCAGCAACGCTTGCGCGAACTTGCTGTCCCTTGCATGAGCGTCGAGTTCTTGCTTGGTGGCTAACGTCCGGCGAGGTGCATGTACTGTACACACATCCACCCAGGATCTTCGACACTAGAACGAACACCATGAAACAAGACATCGAAGTGTATGGAGAAGTGGACTGGCAAAATCCGTTCCTGGTCTCGCACAGCGCAGGTTTCAGCTCACAAACGCGTCGACGTGCTCAGCGATGGGTAGTCACGCGTAAGATAATCCGGAACCTGTCTAGCGTAATTTGATATGACACAGGTTGCAAGTAGTTGAGGTCTTGGTTAGGATGACGTGCACGGGATTGTCGTCTCGTGTCGTCGGTTGCCTCTTCCTTCTTCTCGTTCTCCTCAGGTCTCGTCCAGGCCCTATCGTTCGCCGATGACAGTCCTTCTCACTCTCCTCTGGTCTCTAAATTAGTTCGGAGGCGCGAAGGGAGCGACAGTGTTCTGGGTACATACCGAGGTGTTACCGGTATGGCCCTGATTTACCATGACCTCGCCGGTTCGTAGTTTGCGCAGCCTAAGTACCTCGTAGTGGTAGGCTAGCAAGAAGTCAGTCAGTTCGGAATTCGCCAAGGAATACAGAGATCCTTTCCGTTCTCACCTTGGTTGGCCCGCCGCCGGGCGCCACGCAGATCACTCCCTCTTCAACTCTTCCTCCTTGTTCTGTGCTGCAGGCAGTGCCTGCCAGGCACAGATGGCTCTGCGATCTCACATCTACGATCTCAGTTCTCAGTTCTACGATCTCAGCTCTACGATCTTCAGCCTGTCTGGATACCCAAGTGATTCAACCCACAAGCTGCTGGAGTTCCGCGTCTAATCACTGGTGAACAGCACTGACGAGCAGCGCACGTAGGAGGAAGAGGTGAAGAGGGAGTAGCTGCAAGACCCGTTAACGAGGCTCGAATACATGTCAGTTTGAAATTTCCCTCCTAGTGCGCAATAGAGAGGGTGGCTGGGGCTAGCTGAGCGCCAAGTCAGAACAGACAGGGCCGAGCGACCAACGGAGTGACAAACGCAGCCGGCACGATGTAGCGCCCCGCGCACGTCTTGCGAGGTCGATTCTTCTTCTCTGTGGAGGGTTGGACTTGAAAGCCAGACGTGGCAAGAGATGTGTATTACTTCCTAGGCTGATGTGCTTGCGTGCTTGAGTGTAAATTGCGGACTGCCTGCCTTACTCCCTTTCTCTCTTTCCAACCTTACCATGGTCAGATCTCCTTTACCTTGTCTTAACTGGGCTTCGTTACACCTCCATGGTGCTCTCCTCCATCCATCTTGCTGTTCTGGGCGCGCAGATGTCGTCCTTCTCGAATACCAAAGCACTTGTCCCTGTATAGTTGTCGAGTCAGGGCTTGACCGGTATTGTCCGGAATATCCCGGGACCAAAAGTCACCAAAAGTGACCGAAAGTGACCTATTCCTGGCAGTTTTCCTGCTTCCCCGACAACAATTTTAGCCAATATAATTAGCCCGAAAGCAAGCAGGAGCTTACATCACAACAAGTATCCAGGCAAGTTATCAAGACAGCGAAGCTCCGCATAGCTCACTAAACTTGACAAGCAGCTCGAGAGAGCCGCCGACCATGACGAGATGGCACTAGTACTGACGCTAATGCTGCGTCTTCGCTCAACGCGTCAACGAAGCTCGCTGTTCTCAACGTCGAAGATGGCGACTATCAGTGTGGCGCCTGTGGACGGGAGCAAGACCAGCTCTCGGCAGACCAAGCACCTAGAAGTGGTTTTCATGCGATAGCATTAACCCACCACACCGGTAAGCGTTCCAATGCATCCCCCACCTACTCTGAACTGTGCCTAACCACTCTGTGTACTTATGTGTTGTTAGCATAGCGAACAGCTTGAATACAGCAGTATGGAGATTAAGGCCTTCGGCGAGGGTTTAGATGCAGCTTTATTCAATCGAGCCGAGCCATTTGCAAGTGCCAGTGACATAGAGAATAGCAGGGCTTTTGGTACGAAATCAATAACATGATGCTCTCACAATTTGACACAAATACTAACTTGGTCGAAGATGTTTGCATGTAGTATTTATTTATTTTGATACGAAAAACGTGGCAATGGACTGGATTTTAGCTTTCTTTCGCTTTTCGTAGTCTGGGTTCTTGCTGTTTGCGTTGCAACCTCGTTTTCGGGTCCGACAACTCTTGCACGCGGGGTCGTTATCGTTTTCATTGTCTTCCGCTGCTGCTAGCTGCTGCGGCTCTGGCGGCTGGGCGATCTGCTGGAGTGCAAGACTTGGCTGGACAACACGCGTCACTAGTGCAGATTGTTGCATCCTTTCTGCTACTACGGTACTGCTGTTCACTCGTAGCTGCTTCGCATTCCGACTCCGTTGCTTGAGTCGACATCAAAGAGCATTTTGGTTTAGAGTTCCAGCCGGGTTCATCTTCAAGTACAAAGCATGGATATTAGCCCACTTGCCGTGTGTTCCTTTGGGTATAGTGGCGGCATATTCTAGCAGCACGGTTTTCGTTTCTTCGCCGAGAATCTCGTGCGCAGGTCTTGTTGGCGGAGTCACCGACAGATTCGGCTCCCATGTCGACGGAAAAGTAGGTGCGCCAGACGAGGACAGCTCTGCAGATGAACGCAGCGGGACCACGACCGCAGTAGAATCTTGAGGCCTTGGCTGAACGGGTTGCTCGCAGACTCTGCCTTCGACAGAATCAAATTTTGGCTGCTTCAATTTATTTTCTCCAGTTTTCTTGTTGCGCTGTAGTTTTGAGCTCGGCGCAGAGACTCCCAGCGCCGCTCAAGAAACTCATCACTCTACGATTAATGTCGGGACATGCGCATGCTGCAAAATCATATACCGAGCGGTACACTTGCTTTACACTTTTGATGCCCGTCGACAATCTCAGAATCTGAAACAAATTTTCTTGAAGCGAGCTCTCGCCTCCGCGATTTTCTTCATCGTTGACCATCTTGTTTTGCACCATCAGGGCCCGAGCCTCTTGGCTTAAGGTTTTAGGCGCGCACTGCGTCAGCTGCAAATCTATAGAGGCTAACCGCCGAGCAATCGCTTGGTGACTGTGCTTCCTGATGGCTAAGCTGGGGTTATCCATCCGCCTGACCGCTGCATTATACAGAATCGTTGTGACCACCTCACACGGCTCCCACTTTGCGTCTTTAGAAGCAAGTTGCTCAGCACGCACTTGTTTCAACAGCGCAAACTCGTGAGCAGAAAATTCAGAGGTACTCTCGTACTCTGGCTCCAGACCCAAGTTCTCGGTGAAGTCGTGCTGATTCATTTGCTTGCACCCTCGATATGCAGAATATAACATTGTTCGGATGTCGTCGAGCGCAGAATTGCTGCGGAGCATATTCCCCTCAGCATATTCAACCCGCAATGGAATCATGTCGTACAGAGTCTCCCACGAACGATGGCCTTGCCATTGCGAAGCCCCCGGTATATATTGTTGTTGGAGACTAATTGCGTACGGACGGGCTGCAAGCAACTGGCTAATGTACTCGAGCTGAGGTGAATCTGGGATTATTCCTCGGCAAAGAACAGCAGTTCGGCACAGTGTCATGAAATCAAAACCAGTGAATTCGGGTTGCGTCGAAACTTTGCTCCAACCTTCAGATTATGCTGTAACCACAAAATAAAAAAGAAATAATGTTTGTGAGTTTTTATTAATGGATAAGAGAAGAGTTTGCGGCTGTACCTGCAGAAGAAAGATGTCCAGAATTCGTAGACCGACTTCGATGGACACTACACGGTCCAGTAGCTTGCGAAGCTTGGAATGTATAGCCTCCAGCTGACTGGTAGAGACGACTCGGACAGAGCAACCTCCTTCGCAATATAATAGTGCTCGTCTCTACAAACAGGTCCCCAGTACGAATCTGCTCTAAATTACTTTTGACGCAGCCTTCCCATTCGCTACTTGAAACACGGATATCCGATGGATTCATTGTAGCCAAGGCAGCGGTGAACATGCGCTCCATCACATCTGGAGATCGAAGCTTTCCCTCCACGTCGTACAAACCTTCAGAAAGTCTCTTAGATAACCACTGTCGCTTCACCGAATCGCTTATTTTCTCAGTCAATCTCTGAATAACGTGAAAAGGGTCTTGTTTCACCACTACAGACTCGCCAAAAACATTTTTTACGAGGTTGCGCATGCCATTTGCGTGATCGCACACACAAAATCGCTCAATATGAGAAGTGGAGGCCAGCTTGTTTGCAATTGGCTGCAAATAGCGGTAGTTTTTTCATGGTTTTCAGACTTTGTCAGACCCCGCGCGAGCAACTGACGCACTTCATTCTGGACAAGCAACAACATGCGCACGCTAGCCACTTGTTCTTTGCTTCCATCTGCGCCAAACACCTTCAGCTTGCTACAAAACTTTTGCGAGTGGTCCACCCTAAGTACTTTAGCGCACTCCGCAGACGCCATGTGAGCTTCCACCAACGTACTGCACACTGCAGTTTGCGTAAGCCACAATTTTTGGATGACCTCGCTGTCAAGGCACCCGTGATCTGTCATATACTGCTCCACCGAGAGAAGCAAAGGCTGACTGTAGTGGGGGTCGGCTCGCTTGCGTTTCTCTATCTCGGTTGCGGCACCAGCTAACAGGGTGTAGTACCGCTTCTGTCGACGGCGAACAATGTTGTTGGTGGCCCCTGATATCCCCATAGTTGTCAACATACTATCATATACAAGGTCAAACAGCTCTAGCGAGATGCCAGATTTGTAAGTAAGTAGATATGGAAATGCTAACAGCACTTCTTTCGATGTGGACAAGTCTTTGTGTTGCAGGAGCGCGCCAGGTGCGGCGATAGAGGCGACGAAGCTCTCGTCAACAGACACATGACGAAGCGAAAGTGCTGTGGGCGCACCCACCGCTTCCTGGTTCAGCCCTCGAGAGAGAGTAATGGTGTTGACGTTTATGCTGGCAAATATGTAGCGATATGTAAATGTCAGCTTTAGGAGGGCATTGAACACTGGATAAATACGAACATATAGACCAGCAACATGCCCGCCCAAGACCAGCTTTTATCCTTCGTTTAGATGCAAAATAGCTTACGCTGTAGTATGGCTCTCTGAGGATGAGTGAGAGCAATAACCGCAATTAGTAGAAAATGTGGTATCTCAGCAGACAGTGCATACATAATTTCCTTTCTTAGACCCAACAAGAAAATTACGATGACAATAAAGATTCATGTACTAGGGGGGTTATTTTGGTGGGGTACTAATCAGTGATATTTCAGTTTTTGGGTTTCCACAAAAAATATAGCCTTTTTGTTGAACCTTGCCCCGTACCAGGCTCTGGACTGCACTGACTACATGGAACACGAGACGTGTACTATGTCATACCTTAGGAAGAAGTCAACTTGTGATATCAGGTAGTCGTAGTTGGCCGAAGCGCTTGCTGATGGCCCCAGTGCCTGTGACATAGTCACATGTGGATATCTCCGAATGGAAACTCTAACTTGAAAAATGAACATCGGTTACGTACGCTGGGCCACCACATAGTCGACCTTGGTGATGGCGTCCAATGCCACGCATACGTATAGGCCCTATCGCGTGTCAATGAAAAGAATACAATATGGAACATATGCATTGTCCATCACAAAAATGGCCCACCGAGCTTTCCGCTAAGACGTCTCCACCTGAACAACCCAGCCGATCTGCATACACACGTCCAGTTGGCGACACAGTCAGATCAAAGGACCGCCAATACCACCATATACTATCGAACATGTCGCCCCTGCCGATATCAACCATGTTCCATGCGAACCATACACCACTGGCACATTTGGCGATCTCTGACCCCCATCCGGACAAACCTAGACACCATCCGCTCGGAGGAAGTAACAAAAGTTGCTTCTCACCGCCACGTCACAACCAAACAGAGGCACCAGTAAAACGTTTGATACTGCCGCGTGCAAACACAGCCCGCATTGACGGATCTAAAACCTGCGCCAGCCTACCGGTCGCTTGGAGCATCATGGCGAGGAAGGTGGATGCACGGCTCAGTAGCTCAACTATAAAAAAGATCAAAAATATTCCCTTCTCGGCACCATCCCTACCCCTGAGAACCTTGAATGATAACGGCACGGATGGATTCATCGGCGAACACTCCTAGTGCATACTCCCCACTCTCATGCCCGTGACCGGATAACATCTCCGGGCGGACCAGTTGTGACTACTCTCACGATTCCACGGACACTCATCAAGTGAATCTGCCCTTCGGGGTCGCGCTTCGAAAGAGCAGCATGCACGAGTATGAGTTACCTTTGCTTTCTAAACTCTACTCAATATTAACCCAGCAAACTATCAAGCGCTCGCGACTTCCAAGGCACAAGGACGTCAAGGATCACCAGTTTTTGTGCGCCTATGTGTCACACCAAGGTATCCTCCGCGGATAATCTGCGGTATCGGATTGGTGCACGAATCCAAAGTATGGAGGCATATGAAGAGAAAAGGAGACGCTACAAGCACATCCTGTAACGGGGTTACACGCACAAGTGGCTGCAGTCACTTGTTTCTCTAACAGATGCGATGTCTGTTAGAGGTTTGAACACTTCCTCGACCTTGGTGTAAGGTACACCAATGGCTACATACATTTACGACCACCACGACGGGTGGTCCATGCACATTTAGGATTCCTATTGGCTGAAAGCAGCATCTTTTAGCCAATGAGTGACTTGCATGTTAGCAGAATCCTGCCAACCAGCCGTTGGCAGATTCCTAACTTAGAATATTACATTTAGAGGAAGTCAGAAACATAAAACAAAAATAGCAGTTCTCATCTTTTACCAAAACCCGCTACTTGGAGTCTTTATCTTGTTGAAAGTAAACTCGTGGATCTCGAGTATACTTAATTCAAGTAAAAGAAACCTACGCTTCCTCATACACGTGCGCATACGTGTAAGCCGTAGTAGTGAGCCAAAGTAGGCCCATTACACCTGGTAGCACTTAGTAGTCCATGCAACGACCGACTACCTGAACGTTCGTACGGAGCTGTACGAACGAGGAGCCGAGAACCTTTTCATGAGCGCGGAGGTGCCCATGGAAAGATCCACTTCGCCTGCAACTCATGTTGCACGCGCTGACTGCCTCCACCTGTCGGATCCAGAGTGGGAGGCACTCCAACGACTGTCAACAATCATTGGGGAGGCGGCAGTAGCTGCGATGCTGCGTACGCTATCGCCGACAGAGCAACATGGTGTTGCTCTGGGGTTCATCATGAGGGAGCAGCGAGATGCTGCTTCGTCTACCACGGTGTCGTCGGGGACGACACCGCGCGCGCAATCGCTGAAGCTCAGCGTGAGCAATTACGTTGGAAGAGAGGGCGAGCCTCTCCTCCGTTGGCTTGTCGAACTCGACACTGCCATTGCGGCTCGACGCATCGTCGACCCGTTGTCGAAGGTCGCGTTCGCCATGTCATGTCTTGGCGGACGTGCAAGAAGTTGGGCGTATGGACGCCGACTCTCTGATCCTACGTGCTTTAGCACGTACGACGGTTTCAAGGAGGAGCTCAGACAAGCGTTTGAGCCAACGCAAAACGAGTTCCGGTCGAGGGCGGAGTTCCTCGACCTGCAGCAGGGCAAGCATGATGCCCATGCTTACGTGCAGAGAGCTCGGTACTTGGTCTCGAACATCGTGACCAACCCGATAGACGAGGCGACCAAGGTCGTCACGTTCATGAAGGGTCTGAGAGATGGGCCTGTAAAGTCCTATCGCTTCCGTGAGTACCCAGGCACTCTCGAAGCTGCGATTACTCTTGCAATGCAGGAGGAGTTTAGTCTGAGGCAGACTAAACTGCATGCGAATGCGCCGAGGCTGCAACCGCCTCCGGTCGCGATAGTGGGAGGTCCGGAACCAATGGACCTCTCGAATGCAACGGCTGTTGGTTATCAACAGCAACAAGGAAGTAATGTACGATGCTTCCATTGCGGAAGGATCGGTCACTTTGCCCGAGAGTGCACGGCACCCGAGCACCGAGATGGTGGTCGACGCGGCGATGCCGGGCATCGTCGCGGACAAAAAAAACGCTGGAACCCAGTAGGCGCGGGGCGCCCTACTGGTGAAGCAGTCACGCATGTCCAACTCGGACATGCGACACTGAGGACTGCAGCCCTCAGTGACGACCCTTCTCACTGCAAAATGCATGATGAGAAACCGAACCTTGTCATCTTGAACGTGTCTTCGAAGAGAGAGAGAGCAACTCATTTTGTGCTTTGGTTGATTCGGGCGCGTCGAACAACTTTGTTCGACTGCGAAGTCTATCAAGGCTTGACTTCGATGATTTAAAGATACCTCGAAGTATGTTGGAGGTACGACTGGCAACGAGTGCCGTCGTGAAGACCGAGAAGCGCATGGTACGCGTGCGCTTCACGTATGAAGATCAAGAGTTTTTCGAGACCTTTATCGTCCTGGATCTGGACGATAAGTTTGACATTGTATTGGGCATGCCGTGCAAGCCACGGCATGATCCGGTCATCGATTGGGAGAAGCGCACTCTCGTGCGCTTCGGTCGCGACAGCGGAACAGTGAGCGATGGCCCTGTTGCCGCTACGCACGCACCGTCAGATGCGCGCGACTCCCCACTCGAGACAGCGCCTAATGCCGCTGTCCCGGAGCGCCCTGAGCGCGCGCGAGCACGCGCGCAAGAGCAGCAAGCGTCGGCGTCGCCGCCGACGGTTGAAGGAGAAAATGTGTTGATCTCGGAGATCGACACCCGCTTTTCAGCGAATCAGGAAGAGTCTCCGACCTCAAGGGGCACGGAAAACGCAGGCGAGTCACACGCCTCAGCCGTGGAGGCTGACGCGAATCTGATTGGATCAGTTTTGGCCAATAATAAGAGCCAAGGTGACGAAACGCCGTCGACTCCGGGAGTCGATGCTGCAGGCGGTGCGGACGGTTGCAAACGTCCCGCACCGGAAAATCTTGCATGCTGTCGTGCAGCCGGGCTGCACGACGAAGCGCCTGGCGACCAAGCCGGGCTTGAAGTCGCTCGTCCGCGGGATATACCCGCCGGCGGTATACAAGAAGAACACCCGTCCACGGCTGGGCCTGGACGAGGTCAAGAACCAAGCGGAGCCGGGCTCCGCAAAACAAGAAGACGGCGCATGCGAAGGTCGCTGCGCAAGTTTCGGCCTGGGGCCGAGACGCTACAAGAAATGTCTGCCGGGCAGACGGGGGCTGAGAAGCCGGACGTCGAAACGTTGAACGTCTTGACGCGTACCTGTTCCGGGTTCCGGTACAGGGAGATGACTCTCGCTAATCCTCCGACGCAAGCGTCGGAGTTGACTTCGCTTCCAGTCGTGAGCTGGAAGCGCTTCGCGCGTGACTTGCACGATGGACGCATCGAGCAAATATGCATTCTCTCGGACGCCGTGAGAACGAAGAGCGAGAATGAAGAACTGAGGCAGTTCTTCATGGAGAGCACCACTACACTCTCAGTGCGAAGACTAAGAAGGAGTGCTTTGAGGAGCAGAGCTGGGACTCGCTGAAAAGGAGTCCTTCTACGAGATTCTACGGGAGCACGCGGACGTGCTTCCGGAAGAGATCCCTGTGGAGCTTCCGCAGGACAAGGGCATCCAACACGAGATTGATCTCGTGCCGGGCACGAAGTACTGTGTCACGCGGCAGTGGCCACTGCCGCGAGAGCAGGTCGAAGTGATCGACGACTTCTTCGAAAGTCGTCGCAAAGCTGGACAGGTGCGGGAATCGAAGTCCCCGCACAGTGCCCCGACGTTCTGTGTCAAGAAGCCACAGGGCGGATGGCGCATCGTTCATGCATACAACAAGCTGAACGATGCGACGATACCGGCGCAGACACCGATACCGCGAAAAGATGTCATCATCAATTCGATGGCCAGGAGCACTGTCTACAGTGCTCTTGATCTGCGCGATGGGTTCTATCAGATCCTCATGCGTGAGAGCGATATCCCTCTCACGGCTGTGAGCACGCCGAGCGGCATGCTCTGGGAGTGGCTAGTGATGCCGCAGGGTCTGAAGAACGCCCCTGCGACCTTCAACAGGTGCGTGACGCAGTTGTTGCGCTCGGTGCGCGACTTCGCACCGAGCTACTTCGACGATGTGTTCGTCCACAGCCGGGCTGCGGACGGGATGAGCGTTGTCGAGATGCACAAGGTGCATCTCCGGAAGCTGCTTGCGCTCATGCGCAAGCACAAGCTCTATGCGAACCTGAAGAAGTGCATCTTCGGGGCGAGCGAGATACCCGTGGTCGGGTGTCTCGTTGGGAAGAACGGTGTCCGCCCTGACCCTGAGAAGGTCAGAGTGATCAATGAGTGGCCGACGCCGTCGAATGTCAATGAACTGCGGCAGTTCCTTGGCTTGGCCACGTACTTGTGCAAGTACGTGAAGGACTACGCGGGCATGATACGCCCGCTGTCACAGCTCCTGAAAAAGGACGCCGAGTGGAATTGGGCTGCTGAGTGTCAGCAGGCCTTCGATGCAGTCAAGCAGGGCTTGACTGAGGCGCCGATCTTGGCGGTGGCCGACCAAGATCGCCCATTCCACGTTGTGTGCGATGCATCCGATTTTGTAATCGGATGTGCGTTGATGCAGCACGATCACGAGGGTCGTGATCGTGTGGTCTACTACCAATCGCGTCAGCTGAAGCCAGCTGAGCGCAACTACCCGGTACATGACAAGGAACGCCTTGCCATGAAGTACGCACTCGCGAAGTTCCGAGTGTATCTACTCGGAAGCAAACCGTTCGTGGTCTATACGGACCACGCGTCGCTGCGGACGGCTGTGAAGTCGCCGCACATCTCGCAACGGATGGCGAGATGGCTCTCATTCTTCGCAGAGTATAACTTCCGGGTTGAGTACAAACCCGGAAGACTCAATGTGGTGGCCGACGCGCTCTCACGCCGACCTGACTACGCCACGACTGATGCCGACGTCAATGCCATTGACGCCATGCGATCGAGCACCCCAACGTCGTCACTGTTGGACGACGTGAAGGTCGCGTACGCGCACGACGCGGACGCGAAGCTCTTGCTGACCTATGGCTCCGCGCCTTCTGACAAAGCTCGTCAGAAGCTGCCGAAGCATCTTCGTGCTCGTGCACACCGTTATCGGGTGCACGACGGGTTATTACTCTACAGTGCAGTCGACGACAACGCGGACCGCGTTGTCGTGCCCTATGACCATGACCTGCGACACAGGATCATGTATGAGTATCACGATGCGCCGACTGCGGGGCATCCGGGTCGTGAGAAGACATACCTTCTTCTCACGCGTGACTTCTACTGGGCCCACCAGTACAAATGGGTGCGCAAGTACGTCCGTGCTTGCGAAGTTTGTCAACGTGTGAAGCCTGCGCCGTTCGCGCAGGCTCCCTTGCAGTCACTCCCGACTCCGTCGGAGTGTTGGCAGTCCATGTCTTTGGACTTCGTATTCGGTCTTCCCCCGGACAGCCAGGGGAACACAGGCGTTGTGTCTTTGTTGGCCGCTTCAGCAAGATGTACCATCTTGCTGCTGTACCCGCTGAAGTGACTGCGAAACAGACTGCACGTCTGTTCGTCGACATGGTGTTCAAACACCATGGCATCCCGATCGACATTGTGTCGGATCGGAACCCGCGCTTCACTGCACACCTTTGGCAAGAAGTATTTACACTTCTTGGGAGTCAACTCTCGATGTCGACTGCGGACCATCCTCAGACGGACGGGCAGACCGAGCGCGTGAATCGCGTGCTCGTTGACGTGCTAAAGAGCTACGCTCACTCGATCCAACACTGGAGCGAGTGCCTGCCGATGGCAGAGTTCGCCATCAACAACTCGGTGCATGCCTCGACCGGGCATACACCGTTCTACGTGAATGCCATGAGGCACCCACGCCTCCCGAGCCTACTCGGGATGGTGACTCCTTCCTTAAGTGGGGGAGGATCTCCGACTGCAACGCAGCAGCCGCAGAATGCCGCTGACACTTGCACAGTGTCAGCCGCAACGACACGAAGTAAAGCCGAGAACCGCGCGTCTGTGCAGGGCACAGACGCCGACAAGCGCACGAAGAACGTGTCTGTGCGGGGCACAGACACTGACAAGAACAAGCAGAAGAAGAGCGTGTCTGTGCAGGGCACATACACCACGAAGACCAACGCAGAGGCAGGGCCTACTGCTGAAAGCGAGCTGAACGAGTTCAGTTCGGACGCAATTCACTTCGTACAGCGCAGACAAGCCGTCATTCGGTTTGTCCAAGACGCTATTGCAGCTTCTGTCGACCGACAGAAGCTGAACGCAGACAATGTTGGCAGGGGCAACACTAATGAATTCGAGAAGGGTTCATTAGTCTTGTTAGCTACTCAAAACTTGCCTAAACATGTCGTTTCCGACTTCGGGGCGAGCAAGCTCGCTCCGCGCTTCATCGGGCCGTTCACTGTGCTGGCACGGCACGGCAACGCCTACACACTGGACATACCGTATAGTATGTGTCTCCATCCGACGTTCTACGTCGGAAGGCTGAAGCCATACCTGCAGCTCGAGCTACCTAGCTCGGCTGAACCGAATCAGAAGAATCCGCGGATGCCGTCATCCTCTCCAGCGCGACTTCGCGCTGGAGCAGCGGGTCGAGCTAATGGTCCAGCTCGGCCGAAACGATCGATGCGGTCTGGGAGGCCGCCGCAAACTGCGAATACTTCAGAGCGCCGAACGCAGCGCTCTGGAACTACTCCACGACCGGGACTTGGTCGTGGGGAGACGCGAGATCAGAGTCAACACCAAGTTGACCACACACGGGGTGTGTTTCCGCCACCGCCGCCGCCAATTCGCGATGCACACGGCTCAACTCGATGAATTGTTGATCGGATTGTTGATCACAGTATCCCGAGAACGAACAGGCAACCAGTTTGTTTTCGTATTCGTTGGAGAGGATTTCCTCCCAACCAAGATACATAGGAGCCACGGAACGTCTTGCTCCAAGACGTTCCAGACTTGGTGAGGGTATACGAAGCCCACCACGCGCTACATACTGGAACGTAATGCGAGCGCTGCTGTTAACAGCACTTCAAGGGCGGGCTGTGGGTCCTGCCCCCCTGGCAGCAGCGCGCTTTGCACGTTGCCGCGCATTATGCGCAGCAGCAGAGATGTTCTCCGCTGCTGCGCCAGGGGTCTTCAACTTCGACGTGCTCGTTACGGAACGAGCACGCTCTCTTCAAACGTCACACATTGACCAAACGGTCAATGTTGGTTGACGTGCTGAGACCGGCACGTCTAACCTTGACGGGGGGATGGTGTAACAGGGTTACACGCACAAGTGGCTACAGTCACTTGTAACTCTAACAGACACGACGTCTGTTAGAGGTTCGAAAGACTTTCTCGTCCTTGGTGTAGACGCACCAAAGGCTACATACATTTACGATCACCACGACGGATGGTCCATAGAGACTTAGGATTCCTATTGGCTGAAAGCAGCATTTTAGCCAATGAGCGACATGCATAGCATTGGAATTCTGGCCACCAGCCGCTGGCAGATTCCTAACTTAGAATATTACATTTAGAGGAAGTCAGAAAGCATAAAACAAAAATAGCAGTTCTCATCTTTTACCAAAACCCGCTACTTGGAGTCTTTATCTTGTTGAAAGTAAACTCGTGGATCTCGAGTATACTTAACTCAAGTAAAAGAAACCTACGCTTCATCATGCACGTGCGCATACGTGTAAGCCGTAGTAGTGAGCCAAGGTAGGCCCACTACACATCCGGTACTGTCGTCCAACTCGAAAAGGATCAGCCCCAGCGTTTCCTGCGTGGGTTCCTCGTGTTCGGCGTCTACATTTCTGGACAACACGTTCTACTCCTAATTCGAGGCTTTGATGGGGCTCATTGCAAACACCCTAAGTACAATGGCGCCGTTTCGTCTCTAATCGGCCGGGACGGCAATGGCCAGAACGTGACCATGGCAACCGCGCTGATAAACATGGAGAACGAAGGCTTGTTTGGTTCCTGCACCTGTGTAACCAAGCTGGCCGCACCTTTTGTGACACTGCGGGGGTTTTCGACAGAGGCAAAATGATCGGAGCAGTAGAGCACTTTCGGTCCCAAACTGGTATCCGGGTGCATTTGCAGTATTGCACGATGCACATGCTGCGCAACATGAACAAACACTACGGTCTCGGCGATCAAGCCTTTCAGAATGCAGTCTGGAATATCCAGGGCGCCGAAAAGCAAAGAGAGTTTGCTGACGGTCTTGCCAAACTTCGCCGAGATTACGGTTATGCTGTGGCCAACTACATAGCATCAATTCCTACGGACTTCTGGTCAGTGCATGCGAATATGTCGTTCTTCGTTTCGGACCCATAACCCGAGACATCAGACGCAGATGAATATCTGACTGCGGACCCTTCAAGACCTCTTCACGTGAAGCCAAAGTTGTCATCCGCATCGACGGTCTTGCCTTTGTTTGGATGGAGAAGCACTAACTTTGTCGAAAGCGAGAACAGCACTACGGTAGAAAGTGGTATCCGCGACGTAGGCCCGTACGAGGCCTTTTACCAGCTTGCGGTGACTGAGATGGAGCGCTGCACTAAACGTGACCCGGCAATATCAAAGTGGAAGAAAGCAAAATGCGCTCTGACGCCTCACGCGGGATATTTGTGGGAGAAGGAGCGAGCTCGAGTTGGGGAGTATCACGTGCGAAAAAGCACGTCGACATTTTACGTTGCTGTTCGAACGGGATCTCCTCGAGCCCGGCGCGTCGACATCTCTATCCTTTCATACTCTTGTTCTACGTCAGACCAGCTGATGATCTCCTGCCGCCACATCAACGCGGTTCTCGACCATTGTGGATTGCAGGAGCACAACCTGCAGGCTTTAGACCCCAGCTATCTCGTGCAGACAAATGCAGATGGGTTCTCCGGCAAAGGCATCGAGCTACCAGTTCGGGATACGAACATGAACAGTGACCTTGTCAAACCATCACCGTTCTATAAGCAAGCAGGACGGCGGGTGCCACGGCGCATCGCAAGTTCATGAGAGGCTCCAACCGGAAAGACCTACAAATGCAAAGTATGCACGCAAGAAGGTCACAACCATCATACGTGTAAGCGGCACAGCAATGAGTGCGATGAGGCAAACGAAGACTTGATACCCACCGTAGTCTCGCTGCCGTGCATCGTCCGCACGAGTTCTGTCCAGGACTTCGTCTCCGGCAGTAATGTTCGGGGGTGTTTCGCCTCTCAGGCCGCTGGTAGAGGCACAAGCAGCGATTACTGAAAGCGACGAGGCTACACGCGAGTCGAAGCGAGCATGAAGCCAATGCCGCACAGCACAGATGAAGCCGAATGTCAGTAGCCTTCGTAGTGGATGATAAAAAATGTAAAAAACATCACCTCCTTTTACCTCTCGTGTTACGCGCTTATTAGCAATGTGACCTTGGACGTCTACCCGACTGCGTCACATCTAATTAGACGATCTTGACTCCTCCAGCCTTGGTGCATGCCCAGGCTGTTCTTGCTCTTGGAGACGAGTTGGTCGAGCAAGTCTACGGAGTCTGCGTGGCGCAGGACTCCGCTTTGCGTAGGACTCAGAGATATGTTGCAAGCTTTTGTATCTACTCCGTAACCAGCACGAACATAAGCGTGCACTTAGTATTGTTGACGAGTGAGACGTCGATCTCGTAGCCACTGGTGTGCTTCTTGCTGGTGGTGTGTTAGAGCAATTTGATGACGAGCTTGATCTTGCCGACGAGACGTAGTCAAGCACGCTTGGTAAGTCGCTCTTTAGAACCGACAGATTGGACAGCGTGGCGGTCTCGATGCCCAGCGCGGCCAGAGGCTCAGACGTGCCTTGCATTACGTAAATGGCGTAGCTCAGCTGGATGAACTCGCGCTTGATCTTCTGGTGGCCGAGCGATATGGGCACCCTGCTTTCGTTGGGCATCTTGACGACCAAGACCAGCAGTACCTTGAGGTACGCCTCGTGCATGTACGCACCAACGCAGGCCATCTTGACACCCAGGCTCGGGTCAGCGCCATGCGGACTCGTGACCTGAACGGCAGGTCTTGACGCCCGCGTAGCCGATGCCTATGAGCGCGACAGGCGCTATCTTGGCAGGCAGGCAGGCAGGCCGATCATATCCTTGGTCGCCAGGAAGCCGAAGTTGAGGTCGACGTCTTGGAGGTGAAGGGTAACGTGGGCGACGCGCGCAGGTGCGTAGTGGCCATTTTTGCAGGGGTGAGCCGGATGTTGAGCGTAGAACACCCTGGGGCCCTGGTGATGACGCTTGCGCTGCGCTTCACCTGCTTGACCAGGGTCACGTAAGGCTTGAGCCGGCATCACCAGCGTCGCATTGGCCGAGTACACGCGTGTCGCGACGTCGAGCGCACAGAAACAAGTCGAATGGCACCCTCAACACGGATGGTCCACTTAAAGTTGGAGTGATACTGGTACTGGTTTTAGGACTGGTACTGGTGTTGAAAAAGAGGTTCTAGACTGGTACTGGTTTTGGGAAAATCTCTTACCACAAATCAGTGTTGAATTTGCCTTCGACATCGCAAGTACCTTCAGAAAGTACATTGGCTCTACGGTGTAGCTAGGTTTTGGTAGTGGATCTAGTGTCGGTTAAGTCTGAATAACATATTGGCTAGCTATACGACTTTCCTAGTGACCTAATTACAAGCGCAGATCCCAGATCCACCCGGATTTAATACTTGGCCGGGTGTATCCTCAACTCTTAACATCCACGGATTCCGCTACAAGAAGCGCCGAGTACGACAAAGAAGATCACCCCGAGGCGGAGGAAAGGGACAATAACCCCCAAACACAACCCCATGGCCGACTCCAGATCCAGACCACCAGATCCAAGTACACGAGGTATTGGATTTGGACCTATAACTAGGAGTAGAGTGAAGATTTCCGTGCTGCTCCACCCACATGCGCTTGTTACGCCCAGGTGTTGCTTCTTCACCGCTTGAACGCTTTGGTAGACACCAGAAGAGCAAGATCCAGCCCTACCATCGGGTTCACAAGATGACAAGTTCAGCATAAGATCACGGAACATCGGGGGAACCCTCCGTTAGTCAGTGTTCGGGCCCGGTTAGCAAGTTGGATCCAGCAATCACGCTCATTATGCTGATCCGGCTACTTCACAATAGAGTCTACACTGTTTAACTGGTCAGTAATTGCTAAGTTGCACCCCCTATCATCATTACAGCGGCCAACAAACAAATATCGAACAGCCAAATATATTGCAATTTTCGCCCCAATCGTGGCCATTGTTACGTCTTGTTCAACGCTATGTGGTTTACATCCTTCCCCATACGTAGTTGTAGGCATCAGATATTCTAGCACCATTTCGAAATACATACTTGGCAAAACGTAGCTATCCGGTCGCTATTTTCACGACCATAATCTTTGTTGGGACACTTCTTTGTACGACCACTCCATTTGAGCCAGGCAAAAGGCGCTTAACCCCTCTAGCCCCGCTTCCTGTATTCTACAGGGTAAGCACTTTTCTTATCCTGTATTAAACAGGATAAGAAATCAGGCATACTTTAATCAAATGCAACTATACAAATGTCAAGTAATTTGAACCGATCACAAGATAAGCAAGGTTGTTGATAAGCTCGGGGGGTATAATTCGTGGCCCAGGTTTTTCGAGATTCAGTGAATTCGCGCGCGCCCAGCATTCGCGCCATTCGCGAATCCGACGGACGGAAAGCAAGTGAAGGCAGACACGTGATGGGTGAACGCAAGCACATCAAGCCTCTCACATGGCCCAAGCTGTGGACAAAACTAAAAAAGCTTGGGTGGCGGTTTGAGCGGCCGAAGGGTCTCTCCAACGAAAGTCGCTTCTACACACGTGCAGGATGGGAGAAACGACCGAATGCAACGCACCTTGTCGACTATTTTGACGGAGGAGATGAAGTCTGGAAGCATCTACCAGTCCCTGGTACGCGGCATGTTACAATAATAGCTTTGTTGGTTTTCTAACGCTACGACAGTTCTGTACGACGAGGCCCCTCCTACCAAACGCCAAGCTACGGAAGCCACTGTACGCGAAGCGCAGACACCCACGGGAGCGGCAGCGGCGACCGCGGTGGAGTCCGACTCGCCGGCACGCCAATCGGCACCTCCACCTCTAAACCCAATCTCGAGACCTCCCCAAAGCCCCCATCCAAGTCGCCGACGAAGCCGACCACCACGGTGCCCGCCAAGTCGCCGTCCCAGTCGTCCGCGTCACCAGCAAAGTCGCTCACAAAGGCGCCTGCGAAGTCTCCCGCCAAAGCACCAGCCACGTCATCAGCAGAGACGACCCCAGCGAAGTCTCCCGCCAAGGCGCCCCAAAGGTACGTTTGGATGCTACATGTCAAGGCGGCGTTTCGAGGAAATTGTGAGGTTCCTACACCTTAGCGACAACTACGGGTCCGACGCACGCAAGTACAAAACCTGAAAGATCAAGCCCATCGCTGACACGATCAACACTACCTTCAAGCTGGGGATGACGGTTGGCCAGCGGATCGCGTTCGACGAAGGAATGACTCCTATGAGAAGCAAGTACAACCCCATGCGGCAGTATCTACGAGGGAAGCCCCATCCTTGGGGAACCAAGTGTTTCCTGACGTGCGATGTCGACAGTGGCTACTGTTACAGGTATGGTGCTCTAAGATTCTTAAATTCTACAGGATAACAACTTACTCTGTGTGTTCGTAATCCTGTACAGGGCCGAGATCTACCAGGGGCGAATCAACAGCGATAGTGCCGATTTGAACCAAGGACCCAACGCTGTCATTCGCAACATTGAAGAGGTACTCGAAGGGCTGCCAAAGCGTCGACTCATTATCACGGATAGGTTCTACTCCAGCGTGCTGCTGTTGTCCATCCTCCTGCAGCGGGGCCTGTACCATGTCGGCACGATCCAGACCAATCGACGAGGATACTGCAAGACGATCCCTTACAAACAAGAGAAGCGGCCAAAGTCCATGGCGCGTGGGTCTTACCGAATTGCGCGTTCGAAAGCAGAGCCCGGTATGTTAGCCGTGTCTTGGATGGACAACCTACCGGTGCACTTCATCGCTACGGGCTGCGGCACACGACCGACGCGATTGTCAAGGCGTGCAGGCGCTGAAGTTGCCGGCGTTCCTGCGCCACAGCTTGTGAAGGACTACCAAGACGGGATAGGCGGCGCGGACTTACACGATCAACTCCGTCTTCAGCGATTTTCAATTCAGGTCGGTTTTGCTTTATCTATCTATCCTGTTTTTGCCCAGATTATGTTGCTGACAAACGAATGTTATTCTGCATTCTACAGCGAACCATGAAAATGAGGAAGTATTATCTCACGATTTTTCTCGGGCTGGTTGATATGGCGTTGGTCAGCGCTTACATCATTTATCGACGTGTGCAAGCTGAGCGTGCACCCGGCAAAGCTCCACCGACTGATGCCGAGTTCACGCGATTGATGTAGACGGCGCTGCTGGGAGTGGGGGCCGCGGACTTCGAAGGTGACTTGTCTGTCCGAGCGCTGGTGGACACGCCAGTACTCCCGTCGCCAACACCACGGTACACGCTACCAGGATGTCACGCGACAAAGCAAGTGGACATCTACCGCGTCACGCGAGGGAAGAACGGCAAAGAGACGAGGAAACGCCGCCAGTATGGTTGCAAGGTGTGTTCACTCCTTCGGCCGGGGAAGAATCCGTGGAGACGACCTTCTACTGCGTTGAGTGTACCGAGGCAAGGCCAAAAGGGGCCACGGACGACGCTGCATGCGCCAAAGGAAAGGTTTACCTCTGCCAAAAAGCTCGTCAGCACGATCCAAGCGCGCCGACAAACATTGCGACCTGCTGGCAAATTTGGTATGACCTTTGGTGTGGTGGTGACAACATTCCTCCAGGATTCAAGGCGATCAGACTGCGCACTGCAAAAGGACGTGACGTACAACAAGCCAGCGGAGCTGCCGACGACTCCAGTGATAGCGACGGTAGCTCAAGCTCAAGTGTTAGGTCGTGTAGTGCCCGAAGTTCGCACAGTGTTCCCAGTGATGTAGACAATCATCAAGAATGAATGCAGATAGTTTGTGAGTGATGGTATTTGTTGAATTTTGACATTTTTCTCTACAAACCTATAATTTGGATACGGAGAATACAGGGTATCACAAGACACCTAACAATGATACCCTGTACAGCACACTGTAGAAAACAAGAATATAGTAAAATCAAGTCATTTCCTTATCCGGTAGAATACAGGGTAACTTCTGCCCAAAATCGCGGGGCTAGAGGGGTTAATTAGTGCAAATACCTGCACTTAGTATCCACATAACTAACTCTAGTTTATTCTCAATGACTGGCCTGTGGCCACACGTCCCTCAGGGAGTAATCCTTGGTGTATCGCACACCATAAGGGTAACCACAAGGGTAACCTCCGTGTAACCCCGTTACAACTTCCCAGGTCAATATCCTACCCGTAGGAATGGCTACGTCCAACCGGTAGGGTTGAGCCATCATAAAATTATATTGACGTTTGTATGCAATGGCATATAGAGACATATTTTGATCATGACGTGCCCGACGAGGAAGACTCTTGAGTATGAACTCGGATTTCAGACTTGCAACTCCTATGGGAAGCTTGGGATGAAATAGAATGGCATCGTGAAAACTAAGTTGGTGGAACCTGGGTATCTCCGGAACCTTTGTGTCAATCTAGAAGCTGTAGTTCCAGGTCATTTTTCAGTAATCTATTTTTAAAGTCATCCTACCGGTAGGATTCGAAACTTACACCTCCCCAGACGAGAACCTTTCTGGCGACCACAAGACGGGCTCAATTAAGCACTGTATTGTGAAATACGTTGCTCTTTAAGCCAGTTCGCTACTGTTGAGCTCCAGCAAATAGTGTGTATTTCGACCGCAAATAAAACTGAGCTTTGTGCACTAAATTCTATTCAAACCGGTTTAAAATTCGGACTGAATTTGCCAGCTTTCAGAGATCGCCATGAAGGACTATCGACGAGTACAAGACACAGTGACAGCCGTGCAGATAACTTAATGGCAACTTTGAGGTAGGGATATGCGTTTCTCGGGCGCGTCTCGTCCCCTTCCTGACTTACCTCCTCGTGTAGGTTGCTGTCGCCTTCATCCGTGTCAGCGTCACTGGGCTGCAGATCCTCTTCCTCCCCCTCATCTTCCGTGCATGAGTCGTATTCGACCTGGTAACATGTCCCATTTTCTTCGCAAACATCCCCTTGGGCCTTGGCACTCCGAACAGCTTCCTCCAACTCTGACGGATCCGTTATCACCTTCCGCAATGGATTCGAGTAGCGTCGATTCTAGTACAGGCCAACGATCTTGTTAACTTTTTCCAGACCAAGCTAATGTCGTCGATCGGAGTGAACATATTTGTGAGCACCCCAGTTTCTCTCTGTCTCAGCCGAGGAGGTCGGCATCGTAAAAACTCTGCGCGCAATCCTATGCAAAATAGGATATGCCTCGAGACGGGCCTTCCACCACTCCATTGGAGCCGTCCGAGCTTCATACTTTCGTCGTTGAGAACCCTAGTCGGTCTTTTGGTTCCAGAATACTCCCGCTTGGTGAAATGCATCCAGCGCTTCAGCTTTCGAGAGAAACGCTTGTAAACTCAGTGGTGACAGGTCCGAACATGGCACCGGTGCATGTTTGCACGATAGCAACCGGAGCGAAACGGGGCCCTGCATGGTCCTGCTTATGCTTCGAGTGGTGGACTGGCTGGAAGATATTCTCAGGGTAGGTAAAGTGGCCATCATTACGACAGATAATGCCCCCAACATGGAGAAGGCTTGGAAGATCATCGAAGCAGAGCGTGAGATATTATGCAATGGCTGTGCCGCGCACACACAATCAACCTACTGCTTCAGGACGTGTCCAAATTGGAGGATGTGCAACAGACTGTGACAGGGGCCGAGACGATTACAGCGTACTTCATGAAGAGGCCGCAGCTACTTGCACGATTTAAGGAGGAGAAGCTATCACTCGCTCTTGATGACAGCACCAATGCGTCCGGCCGCTCGTTTTCGGTGTCTGTTCCTACGCGCTGGTATTCGTCGTATCAAAGTCTCGTGAACGTGATCCGGAATAAGGAGGCAGTCATTTGTGTTTTTAATGATGACGAATTCATGGAAGCGGACAAAGGAGCTAAGAGGCGTCGGAGGCAACCAGCACCAGTAGTCCCAACAACGACATCGAGGAAGAGGAGTAAACGGGCCAAGAAGAAGAGCAAAAAACGAGGGAAGCGGCACAAACTCAAACGCCCAAGTCGGCCAAAGAAATCGCCTTTAGACGTGTTGATAAGGTCGTGCGGGATGAAGAATTTTGGCTGAAAGGCGAGAAGTGATCCGGCTGCTGAGCCCGATCATAAAGAAGCTTGGGTTGTTGGAGTCGGATCGGTGTTGTATATTTTTGGTCTACTGGGCATTTCGTAATCTGATGAGCGACCCTCTATATTGCGAGCCAACGTTTCTAACTAAACTGCTGAAGCCATTAGTAGTTTGGTCGAGGCGAGATGGAATTTTGCTCACACAGAAGCCATGGGAATCGCGTACTATTTGGACCCTGCCCAGGATCCCCGTAGATTTGTGAACAATGACCAGGGGCAGTCAAAAGATCAGATCGAGATGGTGGCGAGGCGCCTGGGGTTTGCTTGGGATTCGACCAGCCGTCATACGAGACCCCGAGGTACGGCTGATCTCGCATCTCCAAGAATCTGTCGTCCATCATTCCATCATGAGCCACGTCGAGCAGGTGGCATCCCATGTCCTTCGGTGAAGAAACACGCAAATGCGGGCAGAGGGTCTTGATCATCCACATGAAGCTAGGTAAGCCAACTTGACGGAATGCCGAACCGGACTCGTAAATGTAATCAGACACCAATGTGTTCATTAGTTCTTGCGAGATCACACGTGCCTGCTGCTACTGACCAGGTTCATCGGCTGCGGACTGGGGTAGATTGACAGCTCCATACTCCCTTCGTTTCTTCTCTGCAGCTTCCTCTGCTCGCTCCAGCATCACGCGCTTCCTCTTGTTCTTCTCCACCAATGTGCGTCCACGGCACTTTGTCGAATGGCATTCCAGCTTCGAGCACTTCGGGTTAGTGATGACAACACGGCAACGCTTGCACGCCACACTGCCACCATCGTCCTTGTCGCTGAAAAGGTCCCAGACCTCGCTTCGAGGGCGACCTCCGGGCATCGCTGGTCCACTGTAATTACGCATTAGCACACACCGATGGTCAACAACATCGCCGTCGCCGCTTCCTCACCTGCCTTCACCTAGAGCTGCAGTACAGGCTTCTCACGCTCCGCGACCCGCAACGGCATGAGTTGTTGCAGAAGACGAGTTGAAGTTGAAGTGGCGGAGTGCGCACTCGGCCCGCGAGCGGGAGAATTCAAATGCGTACTTAGTATGAATCTAAAATTACAAAAGTAGCCGCAAATCAGTTCTGTCGACAAAACGAAAAAATTGGCCACACAACTCAAGTTTTAACGGGTATAATACATCTGACTCGAACTAAACCGACTCAAACTAACAGTCCCGGACACCAAAGAGGGCCCAAAACTACTTTCTCCACCGTTGGTAGATTCGTATTCTTCTAGAGGAAACATGAAAAAGTAGAGCAAGCACGCTAAGATTCGCTTCGCAATGACCACACCAAATAGTCGCTGCCTTTGCTCAAGTCACTTCCATTTCCTGCAAATCATCATTATTGCATCTCACTGCGAGGCCGAAGCTCGAATTGTGACGGGGTCACACAGCACAATGCTCAGAGAAGGTGCGCACGGATATTACTATCCAGGTGAACAGCAGTTCACCAGTTCCCGGCCTCAAAGGGAACGGTTTGCTACAAAAGAGTAGGTTATAAGACTGACTGTATTTTGATAGAGGTTAACTTGGTCGTAATACAAACTACAAATTAACTATACAAAAGCCCACACACCTCTAATGGTTTGCTTGCGGAGCTACTGGTACCATGTACCGTGAACTCGGGAGAGTGAAACCCGTCACTCTTCATGTAAGGGGTACAATTGATTGTACCCCGTTATATCTTCCTCCACTTATCTGGAAAACACATCTGATTCTCAATCAGCTACGAGAGAATCTGAACACCCAAAGGTCGGAATCTCGGGCGCCGCCGCCGCAAGGCTGGCGCGCCTCATTGTCACACCCACAATGACTTGTGCCCGCAGTGGCCACCCCGCGCTGCATCCCCCTGCCCTCGGCGATGTCGGCCGCAAAGCCTCTTGGGGACGCATCCACAGCGCTAGCAGGCGCAGAGTGCCTCGGCACGGGATGCATGTGCCTCCAAACTTGCAGTGTCCCTCGTAGACCACCAGCAGTTAGTGTCGCATGGCATTCGGGCCCCGCTGGTACGTTCGTGCTGCGGTGCCTCCCGCGTGGGACGGCACCTTTCAGGTCAGCGCGAAGCGTAACTATAGATAGAGGCGCGCTGCTCATCTCCGGCCATGACAGCGGTCCGACAGGACCCCGCTCGTCACGGCGCAGCGTGTCAGTCGTTCGAGAGCGCCGGCACGACCTTTGGGCAGATCTGGTGTAGGAAACACCAGATTTCGTGCGACCAACTCGGCTGGAATGGTACACTTTACCGGGAGCCGAGCTGAGCCGAGTTCACCATCTTACCCGGACACTTTATCTGTAGTGGGCCTACCTTGGCTCACTACTACGGCTTACACGTATGCGCACGTGCATGATGAAGCGTAGGTTTCTTTTACTTGAGTTAAGTATACTCGAGATCCACGAGTTTACTTTCAACAAGATAAAGACTCCAAGTAGCGGGTTTTGGTAAAAGATGAGAACTGCTATTTTTGTTTTATGCTTTCTGACTTCCTCTAAATGTAATATTCTAAGTTAGGAATCTGCCAGCGGCTGGTGGCCAGAATTCCAATGCTATGCATGTCGCTCATTGGCTAAAATGCTGCTTTCAGCCAATAGGAATCCTAAGTCTCTATGGACCACCCGTCGTGGTGATCGTAAATGTATGTAGCCTTTGGTGCGTCTACACCAAGGACGAGAAAGTCTTTCGAACCTCTAACAGACGTCGTGTCTGTTAGAGTTACAAGTGACTGTAGCCACTTGTGCGTGTAACCCTGTTACACCATCCCCCCGTCAAGGTTAGACGTGCCGGTCTCAGCACGTCAACCAACATTGACCGTTTGGTCAATGTGTGACGTTTGAAGAGAGCGTGCTCGTTCCGTAACGAGCACGTCGAAGTTGAAGACCCCTGGCGCAGCAGCGGAGAACATCTCTGCTGCTGCGCATAATGCGCGGCAACGTGCAAAGCGCGCTGCTGCCAGGGGGGCAGGACCCACAGCCCGCCCTTGAAGTGCTGTTAACAGCAGCGCTCGCATTACGTTCCAGTATGTAGCGCGTGGTGGGCTTCGTATACCCTCACCAAGTCTGGAACGTCTTGGAGCAAGACGTTCCGTGGCTCCTATGTATCTTGGTTGGGAGGAAATCCTCTCCAACGAATACGAAAACAAACTGGTTGCCTGTTCGTTCTCGGGATACTGTGATCAACAATCCGATCAACAATTCATCGAGTTGAGCCGTGTGCATCGCGAATTGGCGGCGGCGGTGGCGGAAACACACCCCGTGTGTGGTCAACTTGGTGTTGACTCTGATCTCGCGTCTCCCCACGACCAAGTCCCGGTCGTGGAGTAGTTCCAGAGCGCTGCGTTCGGCGCTCTGAAGTATTCGCAGTTTGCGGCGGCCTCCCAGACCGCATCGATCGTTTCGGCCGAGCTGGACCATTAGCTCGACCCGCTGCTCCAGCGCGAAGTCGCGCTGGAGAGGATGACGGCGTCCGCCGATTCTTCTGATTCGGTTCAGCCGAGCTAGGTAGCTCGAGCTGCAGGTATGGCTTCAGCCTTCCGACGTAGAACGTCGGATGGAGACACATACTATACGGTATGTCCAGTGTGTAGGCGTTGCCGTGCCGTGCCAGCACAGTGAACGGCCCGATGAAGCGCGGAGCGAGCTTGCTCGCCCCGAAGTCGGAAACGACATGTTTAGGCAAGTTTTGAGTAGCTAACAAGACTAATGAACCCTTCTCGAATTCATTAGTGTTGCCCCTGCCAACATTGTCTGCGTTCAGCTTCTGTCGGTCGACAGAAGCTGCAATAGCGTCTTGGACAAACCGAATGACGGCTTGTCTGCGCTGTACGAAGTGAATTGCGTCCGAACTGAACTCGTTCAGCTCGCTTTCAGCAGTAGGCCCTGCCTCTGCGTTGGTCTTCGTGGTGTATGTGCCCTGCACAGACACGCTCTTCTTCTGCTTGTTCTTGTCAGTGTCTGTGCCCCGCACAGACACGTTCTTCGTGCGCTTGTCGGCGTCTGTGCCCTGCACAGACGCGCGGTTCTCGGCTTTACTTCGTGTCGTTGCGGCTGACACTGTGCAAGTGTCAGCGGCATTCTGCGGCTGCTGCGTTGCAGTCGGAGATCCTCCCCCACTTAAGGAAGGAGTCACCATCCCGAGTAGGCTCGGGAGGCGTGGGTGCCTCATGGCATTCACGTAGAACGGTGTATGCCCGGTCGAGGCATGCACCGAGTTGTTGATGGCGAACTCTGCCATCGGCAGGCACTCGCTCCAGTGTTGGAACGAGTGAGCGTAGCTCTTTAGCACGTCAACGAGCACGCGATTCACGCGCTCGGTCTGCCCGTCCGTCTGAGGATGGTCCGCAGTCGACATCGAGAGTTGACTCCCAAGAAGTGTAAATACTTCTTGCCAAAGGTGTGCAGTGAAGCGCGGGTTCCGATCCGACACAATGTCGATCGGGATGCCATGGTGTTTGAACACCATGTCGACGAACAGACGTGCAGTCTGTTTCGCAGTCACTTCAGCGGGTACAGCAGCAAGATGGTACATCTTGCTGAAGCGGCCAACAAAGACACAACGCCTGTGTTCCCCTGGCTGTCCGGGGGAAGACCGAATACGAAGTCCAAAGACATGGACTGCCAACACTCCGACGGAGTCGGGAGTGACTGCAAGGGAGCCTGCGCGAACGGCGCAGGCTTCACACGTTGACAAACTTCGCAAGCACGGACGTACTTGCGCACCCATTTGTACTGGTGGGCCCAGTAGAAGTCACGCGTGAGAAGAAGGTATGTCTTCTCACGACCCGGATGCCCCGCAGTCGGCGCATCGTGATACTCATACATGATCCTGTGTCGCAGGTCATGGTCATAGGGCACGACAACGCGGTCCGCGTTGTCGTCGACTGCACTGTAGAGTAATAACCCGTCGTGCACCCGATAACGGTGTGCACGAGCACGAAGATGCTTCGGCAGCTTCTGACGAGCTTTGTCAGAAGGCGCGGAGCCATAGGCCAGCAAGAGCTTCGCGTCCGCGTCGTGCGCGTACGCGACCTTCACGTCGTCCAACAGTGACGACGTTGGGGTGCTCGATCGCATGGCGTCAATGGCATTGACGTCGGCATCAGTCGTGGCGTAGTCAGGTCGGCGTGAGAGCGCGTCGGCCACCACATTGAGTCTTCCGGGTTTGTACTCAACCCGGAAGTTATACTCTGCGAAGAATGAGAGCCATCTCGCCATCCGTTGCGAGATGTGCGGCGACTTCACAGCCGTCCGCAGCGACGCGTGGTCCGTATAGACCACGAACGGTTTGCTTCCGAGTAGATACACTCGGAACTTCGCGAGTGCGTACTTCATGGCAAGGCGTTCCTTGTCATGTACCGGGTAGTTGCGCTCAGCTGGCTTCAGCTGACGCGATTGGTAGTAGACCACACGATCACGACCCTCGTGATCGTGCTGCATCAACGCACAT